TTTAGTTAACTGGCTCTAGCTAATGAAAGCGGTCGTTGCTTAATCGCTCTAGCTAGCGGTTTACAAAAAGGGTTGGAACCATCACGTGACTATGACAAATGAACTTACAACTCTGGGTGTGACAAATAAACTTACAACTACAACTCTGCTGTTGTTAGTTCTCAGCGGAACCAAGCATCGATTCACGTGGACCTACTGAGGCGCGTTAAATCAGTGTTTCTTCCAGACTTTTTTCTCCGGGGGGGGGGGGGGGGGCACTTGAAATTTTCGGGGGGGGGGGGGTAGACGTTCTTCGGGGAGGGGGGGACACTGTTAAAAGTATATATTTTCTATATAAATTTCATTTCGTTCGAAGAGATACCCGGAAGAAACTCTGCGTCAAATGGAGCCGTGACAATGAGCCCCGATAAAAGAAGCCTTGCCAGCTGTATAGCATCAGAGAAAAGGTCCGAGACGAGATAGAGAGAACCCCTAGGAAAATATGAGAGGGAAATGTACAGGTCTGCTGTGGGCTCAATTTGTAATGTGCTATCAGTGTTCTGGCGTCGCTAGGCGGAGAAGGGGTGGGAGTCCGCCCCCATGTGAAACCACCCGGTTCAAATAAAAAAAATTGTTGGGGAGGAGGGGATTTCATACCGGAAGTGCAACAATAGTTGAAGGGGGGAGGGTGTGGGGGACACCCTCAGCTACCCTCACCGAGTAACAACCAGTGTTTCTTTCAGACTTTTTTCTCGGGGGGGGGGGGTGCGGATTGAATTTTCAGGGGGTGGGGGCGGACACGGTTAAAACTATTTTTTCTATACAAATTCTATTTGGTCATGGTGGTCTTGGTGTTAGCTTTGGGTGTTGTGGCAACCAAAACAAAAATTCTCTATCCTAGGGAAAAACAGAACTTGTGGGAGAAACTTAAATGGATGTATCAAAGATAAACAGTTGAATTAAGCGGCGACATTAATGAAGTCAAGCTAAAGTGACTGGAAGATAAAGCTGACTTGAATGACTTGAAGCTAACGATGACTTGAATGCAGAGGCGTAGCGAGGGGGGGGGGGGCGGGGTGCGGACCGCACCGGGTGACACCATTTAGGGGGGTGACACCAAGGCAAAAAATAGCAAAATCTATAGAGAAAAACTTGAGGGGGGGGGGGGTGCAAATCGAAAGTTCAAGGGGGGGGGGTGCAAATCGAAATTTTGAAAGTTTGTCCCCGGGAAGGGTCGCTACCGCCTCTGGGGGGGAGGTGACACCATTAAGTGCCGCACCGGGTGACACCCGACCTCGCTACGCCACTGCTTGAATGACTTAAAGCTAACGATGACTTGAATGATATGAATTTTACGGGGACTTAAATGACTTGAAGCTTACGACGACTTGAATGACTTGAAGCCAACGGTGACTTTCTACCCCCTAGTGTGCGAGTCAACAAACACAGTGACCTAGATGATGTGTGGGCGACGTGTCGAAACGACGTGGTGTTACACCAGGAGGTCGACACTCGCTACATGACGAGTTGACACAACTTCTTGTGTCCAGCTATCTGACTAACTCTGACTAAATGAGTGACTAAATAAGGTCGTGGACTATATCAGTCGTGCTAAATTGAGTCGCTCTTTATGCTTAATGAAGCAGTCTCTAAAACTTACATCATTACTGCTTGATTGGAGCAATAAAACAACTTTTAATAAGTTGTAACAGTGAGATATGCACAGTTCCACACTAGCATGGTTTAGAAAATACATTTAAAATACGAGTCTTGTTTACTTACCCAAAGGCCTAACTGCGATATTAATCCGTGTAGACTATCTCCCCTGTCTAAAGCCTAAGTGTAAGGCCAACATTAATCCGTGTAGACTCTCTCCCCTTTCTACAAGCTTGCGTCAACAGGAGCAAGGCTTTCCCTGCCCACACCTTTTATTCGGTTAAATTGGGCTGGCGGTCATGAGGAAAGTATGAAGCGTTAGGCGTGGATGGTGTCACCAAGGGAGGGGGGGGGGGTACCATGGTGTATATGGACTGGATCTGGAGTGGGTAGTTCGACAACTGGGCCAGGTTGTACCATACAAGTAGACGCTACACATTGTATACAGTTGGCTTGGGTGTACAACAAGCGGGTGTTAGCTTATGTGGCCGCTGTTATAGTTTTATACTGTTGGCCCTTGTGTAAGCTTATGTGGCCGTTGTTATAGTTTTATACTGTTGGCCCTTGTGTAAGCTTATGTGGCCGCTGTTATAGTTTTATACAGTTGGCACTCGTATAAGCTTATGTGGCCGCTGTTATAGTTTTAGACTGTTGGCCCTCGTGTAAGCTTATGTGGCCGCTGTTATAGTTTTATACTGTTGGCCATTGTGTAAGCTTATGTGGCCGCTGTTATAGTTTTATACAGTTGGCCCTCGTGTAAGCTTATGTGGCCGCTGTTATAGTTTTATACAGTTGTGTGATGTCACGGGTGTTGTGTGATGTCACGGGTGTTGTGTGATGTCACGGGTGTTGTGTGATATCACGGGTGTTGTGTGATGTCACGGGTGTTGTGTGATGTCACGGGTGTTGTGTGATGTCACGGGTGTTGTGTGATGTCACGGGTGTTGTGTGATGTCACGGGTGTTGTGAGATGTCACGGGTGTTGTGTGATGTCACGGGTGTTGTGTGATGTCACGGGTGTTGTGTGATGTCACGGGTGTTGTGTGATGTCATGGGTGTTGTGTGATGTCACGGGTGTTGTGTGATGTCACGGGTGTTGTGTGATGTCACGGGTGTTGTGTGATGTCACGGGTGTTGTGTGATGTCACGGGTGTTGTGTGATGTCACGGGTGTTGTGTGATGTCACGGGTGTGTGTGATGTCACGGGTGTATGGCAGAGTGTGATGTCACGGGTGTTGTGTGATGTCACGGGTGTTGTGTGATGTCACGGGTGTTGTGTGATGTCACGGGTGTATGGCAGAGTGTGATGTCACGGGTGTTGTGTGATGTCACGGGTGTTGTGTGATGTCACGGGTGTTGTGTGATGTCACGGGTGTTGTGTGATGTCACGGGTGTTGTGTGAAGTCACGGGTGTTGTGTGATGTCACGGGTGTTGTGTGATGTCACGGGTGTATGGCAGAGTGTGATGTCACGGGTGTTGTGTGATGTCACGGGTGTTGTGTGATGTCACGGGTGTTGTGTGATGTCACGGGTGTTGTGTGATGTCACGGGTGTTGTGTGATGTCACGGGGTGTTGTGTGATGTCACGGGTGTATGGCAGAGTGTGATGTCACGGGTGTCGTGTGGTGTCACGGGTGTTGTGTGATGTCACGGGTGTTGTGTGATGTCACGGGTGTTGTGTGATGTCACGGGTGTTGTGTGATGTCACGGTTGTTGTGTGATGTCACGGGTGTTGTGTGATGTCACGGGTGTTGTGTGATGTCACGGGTGTTGTGTGATGTCACGGGTGTTGTGTGATGTCACGGTTGTTGTGTGATGTCACGGGTGTTGTGTGATGTCACGGGTGTTGTGTGATGTCACGGGTGTTGTGTGATGTCACGGGTGTTGTGTGATGTCACGGGTGTTGTGTGATGTCACGGGTGTTGTGTGATGTCACGGGTGTTGTGTGATTTCACGGGTGTTGTGTGATTTCACGTGTATATGGCCGAGTATGATGTCACGGGTGTATGGTCGAGCGTGATGTCACGGTCTTGTGTGATGTCACGGGTGTTGTGTGATGTCACGGGTGTATATGTTTTAATACAGCTGGTTTTTTTATTTTAGTGTTAAAATATTTCTCTACTCAATAATGAAAAAGTCTCCCCCCCCCCCCCCCATCCACAAACCATCTTGGACTAAGGCTGGTAAAGCGAGTTTAAACCTTCACTAACTGTTCAGAGTAGGCTATTTTTTCATTGTTACACAATCGTATAAAAAGCGTTAATGCTGATTGTTTTTCGGAGTATCAAATTATTTATCTATTCATCTACTCACCCAATCCAATGTAAATCTTCCAATTTACGATGGCATAAAGTGCCCATCCCATCCGCCGATCTTAGAAAAATATAGTGAGCGCTTTTACTCGTCACTGCTACTGAAAAGTAGCGATTTTTATTTTAATGTTAAAATAACAATTGTAAATTAGCACGTCAAGCCTTGCGGTCGATATTTTCTCATTCAACTGTGTATTTTTCAATATTGCAGCTTGAAATTAACTTTTTTTTTTAAATCTACCCTTTTGGTTTCACTATGGTCGGCGCCGTGGGGCGGACCGTCCCCCTAGCTATCTGCCTGTAGAAGACATTAAATTATGCAAACAATTTTTGTCCTAATGTTATTTTCTGGGAAAAGAGTGGGTGGATGACAGAAGTTTTATTTATATATATATATATATATATATATATATATATATATATATATATATATATATATATATATATATATAGGCCTATATATATATAATAAATATTTATATCATTTAACTGAGACATCTATAATATTAAAAGTTGGCAATTAAAAAAAAATTAGCCTAGTCGCTTGTATTTTAATTTTCATGGCGAGGTAAATAGCGTAGGCCAACGCAAAAATACTTTGTTAGGTGTAGCCTAAGCTTGAAAGGCTAATCAAAATGGATGCCGCTCATGGTTTACATCAATTCATTATTTTAATTTCATAAGTTAGATCTAGGTGTTAACTAAATTTTTATGAGTTATTCATAAATATCGATTAAATATGTATCATTAAATATATTATATTCAGTTTGATTCGTTATGTTTAACTGAGGTTCATGGCAGATGAATTGTTTTATAAGTTTTGAGGGAATCATTTTCATGCCGCTTTTGATGTTGACAATAATTTTTAAAATGTAAACAAACCAAATGAAATGAATCTAGATCTAAATCTAGATCTAGATTAGTTACAGTTTCGGTTGTAAAGGTCTAGATCTCTAGATCTAGAATCTAGATTTAAATATTTAATATATTGTCCGTCCTAGATCTAGGCCTATAGGCCCCTATATTAATATTATTATTAATTTTAATCCACAGAATTTACAATTTTAGAGAACCATAAAATCTCAACCGAAAATTCTTCTGTTTATTCTAAGGTAGGTTAAACAAAATTTAATAATTTAAGTTAGTAAGTTAGTAAAGTAATTTAAAAGTAATAGATCTAGTTCTAATTGCTAATACTAATAGATATAATATAGGGGCCTATAATATAGGCCCTATAGGCTAATTTATAATAATTAATACTAGATCTAGTCTAATAGTAATCATGGTAATCTATCGTTTTAGCGTAATCAATTCGGCTGCAGTAGTAATGTGCGGGAGAGGTAGCTGATGAATATATTTGTTTAAATAAGTATATTTAAGTCAAATTTTACAAAATATAACAGATACTTGATTAAAATTAACAATCAGTGACCAAAACAATTTAAAATATCATGAAACTAACTTTAAACTAGGTGTTTGAGATAAATATTAGTAGATAAAAACAGCGGCCATCTTTCCAAATAAAATTTAGAGTAGTTTCCCTTGATACAAATGTCTATTCGTATGTATATTGTGTTGACTTTGTTGTTTGAAATACATAGTTGTCTTGTTTAATATAAGTAGGACAGAGGGCCATCTTCTTATCTTTAATTTCAATTGAAATGAAGGCTATGTATGAATGTACATCCAAAATCTCAAAAACTTTTGGGAGGTCCATCATTTATTAAACCCTTTTGTACTGATGAACTTGTCAATTATTAGGTCGTCCATCTTCTTCATAAATGACGTTGGACTCAAAATATGGGACGGTGTAAAATATTTAAAAAAAAAAAAAGATGAAGAATATATTCGTTTTCGTTAGAAATTGTGATTACGCGTTCGGGTATTGTAGAACTGCGATATGATATTAAATCATCATCTTGCTTTTAGTGACGATTGGGGGAAAGGGAATTCATCGTCATCGTATGACGTCATTTATGGACAGGACCGGCGCGAACTAGGCTGTCGCCTAGGGCGCTATCCGTAGGCGGGGGGGGGGGGGGGGGCGCCAAAATGGGTTGGAAAAAAAATTGAAAGTTTGAGGGGGGGTGCAAATCGTAAGCTTGTCCCCGGGCGCCGGGAAGGGTCGCTACGCCTCTGATAATATGGGGGCATGAAAAAAAAATTGCAGAAGGGGGGGGGGGGCTTTTATTAACTAAATAACCTGGCGCTGGCACTGTTTATGGGTGATCCATTTAAGCCTAGTTGTTTATTTTGTCTGTAGACATTAGTCTTAGGCCTACACTTTTTCTGAATTAAGATTATTGTGTTTATAAAAATAGTTTTAAATTTTAATTAGTTACATCTGAATACCACATGGGTTTTTTTTCTTTGCCTTCTGCTTTCATCAGTTTTTTTATTTGTTCAATAGTCGATGTTTACCTATCCCCACCATCAATTATTACAAAAACAAAAAACACCCACTATATAGTGATATCTCCCTATAGAAAAAAAACTAGATCAACCTATAGTTCGTAGGAAAATAGAATCTATCACTTATTCGTCTGTTAAAAAAAAAGAAATACGTCATTTTTCTCAACCCCGCCGTTTCATCCCCCACTTAACACAACGTCACCAAGTTTGCGGCGCGCGTGACGTCATTTGTCATTAGGCTAATGTTAAAGAAAGAGATACCGCGTAATTAAAAAAGTCAAAACAGGCACTAATGCGTTGAGACTTTAGCGACGTTTAGTCTGAAGAATAGATCTAAATGACTTTAGTACGGTATATTATATTGGTGTTTAATTTATTACAGTGGCATGCTGTGCTCCCTCTACTACACAAATTCACGTGCTTTTAATTTCTGCAACCTGCTGCTCTGAGACGTTCGGCTCTAAAATGCCCGTGACACAGCGGCCTCCGTAAATACATTTAGGCTCCCGGTCCCACCTACAAACTTCGTCTGCCCATTAAGCTCCTCGCAAAACTTGTGATTGATATGTGGACATAAGCGGCGCTAGTGGTGGTGTCAAAAGGGACACCCCCCCCCCTCCCCAAGCTCAGCTCTTAAAGATGCTCCGCACTTCATAAAAGACAAACTAGATGTTCAGACATCGTCGGACTCGGGCGTTTAGCCGACGGCCGTATTCCTAATGCACCGTCCACTGCTAACACTATTTCTATATTAAACTCAAGCCTATACTGAGCTCTGGCTTTTTACATTAGCTGCTGTCGTATTAAGGGTTGATCTTTTGTTATGCCCCATGTCGCGAAACTTGCTGTTTTGTCCAATTTTACCTGCAAGCCAATAATTGTCTTGGACTCTTGTCGAATATCGTTGCCAGGAGCTACTTGGTTTGAGCCTTATTGTCAGAAGTTATTTCATTTGGAGTCAACATAGTGCGGCCTATTTTCGTCGGTAGGCATTTAGTGGCAGGCCCTTTTTGGCGGGGATGGTGTGCTGAGGTTGTTTAACACCGCTTAGGACAACAGGCTTGCAATAGTTATGATCATTTGTTATGAGCAAAGGTATGCATGAAAACGAACGCTTTATGTCCCTCATTTTCATTGAGCTTTATAGAAGTCTTCCATAACTGACATCACTCACCCCCCTCCACCCCCCCCCATCACCCCTTCATTATAGGTCATAAATTGCAGTCCTACGTAAATTGACGTCACATTAGAATAGCATATGTGACATCGTTTATGGACAACCCATATCACTCATTTTGGGTATTTGATATCAACATTTTGACAACAAAGGTTATTCAAAATGTATATTGGAGGTTAGGACTTGATATCTACCATAAATGACATCACGCACTTAAGGGGTGGAGTAACTGGTTTAGAGACCACGGTTCACGTTGGAAGTGGAAGGGGTAAGAAATGTATTTTGCCTAATACAAAAATGCTGAAAAAAAATCTTTTCGTTAGAATAATGGCTTGACTTTTTAACAGACAGGGCAAAAAGGTAATTTTCGACATTACGACTATTTCGTGACGGCGACAAATGGGGGGGGGGGGAGTTAAGGTAAAGAGCGGTCAAAAAACGTGACGTCATTTATGATTAAATCAATAATTAAAGGAAACAACATGAAATGAAAATAGCAAACAAACAACAATTATTCAATTAACTAATATTTAAATAAACATTAGATATGTAGTGGTAGCTCTATAAAAATAGTCTGGAATTTCTTAATGTATAAAAATTGCATCTTATAATAATAATTCTAGAAGTGATGTTCATTTTCAGTAAATTAATTAAATTGTTTAAAGGGCAGAATTTAAAAAAAAAACACATGCTTTGTCTTTGTATTTAAACACAAGACAATCGTATTTAATAGCAAACATCAATACATTTCCATACAAATAGAAATTAAAGGGAAATGACTCTAAATAATATTTTCTTAAGATGGCCGCTGTTTTTAATAGCAAATTTAGTATCTGGAATATCGTTGTTAAACCTTAATTTCATGACATTTTTATTGATTTAACCCTTAAATGTGGTTTAATATTCAATTATCGGTAAAATCTTAGTTTAGCGTCGTAAATTCGGCCAAAACTAGTAATGTGGGAGAGAGTGAATTAATGAATATGTCATTAAATATGAGTATATATTCGTATATTTTGATAAAGTATTATAGATAATTGAATAATAGATCACCATTGATGGTTAAATCAATTTAAATTTCCTGAAATTAATTTTTATCAACCCTGTTCGAGATAGTAAATTTGCTATTAAAAACAGCAGCCATCTTAAGAAAATGTTATTGAGAGTAGCTTCCCTTTCATTTCTATTCGTATGAAAATGTATTTAAATATGATCGTCTTGTTGTATAGTCCATATTACAAAGCATTTTTTTTTAATGTGAATTTCCTAACAAACAACTTTATTAATTCTAGAAGCATTGTGAGATGCAACTTGTATCCATGTATTAAATCACGTTTTTTTTAAGCTAATGTTTATTTGATCTTACTATTACTAAATAGTTGTGAGTTTTTTCTTATTGTTTTAATGTTCACTATTTTCATTTCAGGTTTTTCTTTTCATCAATTAGTAATTCTATCGTAACTTATGACATTTTTTTTTACTTCTCTTTACCTTAATTAAACCCCAACCTCCGTCATATTTTTGTCGTCAATGTCACAACAAGTCATAATGTAAAAAATTACGCTTCACTCTGCCCTATCTAAGATCTCTAACCATAATTTTGACAACATTAAATGTTTGTCATCATTTATATATACAGAGAGACAAAATGTATTATCCACCAGCTTCCCTCGTAAAACATCATCTAAAACAATGAGCCAGTCCACCCCTTAAGTGCGTGTTGTCATTATGGTCGATCCCAAGTCTCCACCTGCCAGACACATTTTGGTTATCCTTTGTTGTCAAATTGTCAATATCAAGTACACAAGTGAGTGATATGGGGTTGTCCATAAATGATGTCACATATGATTTGCTACGAGAGTGAGTGAAGATTTGTGACGTCAACTCAGGCGGCTTTGCAATTTATGACGTGTCGGTCTCATGAAAGGAGGTGAACGGGGAAAAATAACTAGATGGTTGATGGAGAACCTCTATAATGCTTTGTTCAATCAAAATAACGATAAATAAACATTAGTATACGTATACCTTGCTTAAAACGAATCATCACAAATGTTGCAAGCCTGCTAGTTTAAGACATTCGGCAAAACGACCGCAACACATTATCCCCGTCAAAAAGGCTTGCCACCAAATGCCTGCCGACGAATAAGCCGCGTCTAATGCGGGGCGTTAGGAATACGGCCATTAGCATGGGGCCGCGTTAGAGCACCAGTAGGCTATCGCGCTTTGTAAGATGACGTAAATACTTAAATTCAATTTCGCTAAACTGCGCGAAAATTTAGTAATGTTCCATCGTTTGAGGAAATTTATTTTCTTGGACTTAAACTTAAATTGAAATATCATGTTGACTGTCTGACTCTTAATTTCCGAATATCACTTTTAATGTATCAAGATTCAGAACTATTATTTACTTTAATATAAGTGTCATCTTATCGTTTATTGTGGTTTTTATAAAGCGCAGAGCAGCTACAAAATCGGACGGCCATCCTGTTTTCACCAAGCTTCTTTTGGAGCTTAATATGGGTAGTCTAGTTCTATACAGTGTGAGCTTAATATATTTTTAAAGGGCCGAAAGTCTCAAGACAGCAAGCTTGCAGAAATAACTACGTACGTTTAAATGGACGAGTGATAGATGTGTTAGGGGCTGTTTAATGAACACAAACTTATGTAATCAAATTAAACGTCGCAAAAGCGTCAAAAAGGCAGTGCTTGTTGTTTTTTTTATAAAATTAGCCTAACGGTCGGCGGTACCGCTACATGACGTCACGTGCGAGCGTTAACTCGGTGACGATGTGCTAAGTGGGGGAATGAAAAAGGTGGGGTTCAAGAAATGCGACTCGGCAAGCTTTTTGCATTTCTTGACCCTTCTTAATAGTTCTTTCGTCCCCACTGAGAAAATGTATCACCAATGAATGACACGTCATACTTCTACAGCTGGTCTTTCTCCCACAACCATCCCGTTTTCACGAAAAAAAAAACCTGACCCGTCTCCAAAATCACATCGCTGAGTTCTACTCAACCTCTCCTCACCACAAATCACAATTTCTATCTGAAACAATATGTTCATATGTTTGCTCTGTAATAATGCACGCTGTCATTACTATCTTAAGAGCGACGTCATTTATGAGCGATCTAATATTGATTTGCTTACTGCAAATAAAGTGTTCAAAAGTTCGACCTCCCAACAATTGTTGTGGTCTTGGATGCACACTATTAAGTCTGATACGGTCTATTAGTCATTCATGTCAACTATATTTAAAAAAAAAAGAAAAAATTACTATACAGGGGGTCATCCATAAATGATGTCACGCTTTTTTTGACGATTTTTACCTCCCCCCCCTCCCCTCCGTCACACGTCGGCACAAAAAGCCAGACCCCCCCCCCCCTAAAATGACGTCACACCTCAGCCTAAACCCCCCCCCCCCCCCCCTCAAAATTGCAGTTGAATTGTTTTTAAAGAGCTATATTTTTCCAAAGTCTTGCCTGAACTCTGTCAAAATAGAGTATTTTAATCAATTGTTATTACAATGTATTAAAACAGTTTTTTAAAACGCAAAATAACATCTAAAATTCTTTTTTAAAATGCAAAAGTGTGACGTCGCACCATCTGAACCCCTCCCCCTCATCACACAACGTCACAAAATTACGGGCCCCCCTCCCCCCTACGAGTGTGACGTCATTTATGGACGACCCCCGGCATATATTAAAACAATACAAAACAATCATATTAAACCACAAAATCAACACAAAAGACATGCGAATAGACAAATTATTGTTTTTAAAACATGGCCGCTGCTTGTATTTACTCATTGTTGTCTCGAACGGGGTAGTTTAAAGTTTATTCCAGGATATTTATGACTGGTTTGGTCTTGGATTGTGATTTGTTATTCAAATATCTGTTATATTATTTAAAATTTGACATAAATATGGCCAAATGAAAGAAATATTCATTAGTTACCTTCATCGCACATTACTAGCTACGTTGGAATTTACGACGCTAAAGGGTGTGGGGAAATTGCGAGACGCGAAAAGCGAAATGGCGAGGCGGGAAAATGCGAGAAGGGCGCGAAAACGGTCGGTCACGTGACTTTTTTGTCTCGCATTTTACCACAACCCGATACTTACGCTGGGTGGTGTTGAAATGCGAAGATTTCTGCGAAAAATTTACCGCACCCGACTTTCAGTGGTATTTGGTCCAGACTTCAAAGACGTTTCGTTTACATTGATAAAACTTCCGATTTTTCCGTCGCTAGACATACTGATGATTTGTCAACTCCCCCCATCTTTTGTGTGGACTTAGAATACCACCTTGTTCGAAACCGACGGAAATACCGCCGACGATAGATCAACTTAAGTCTTTTGTGTGGAACGCCGAGGCCGCCTGATTTACCTTCTTTGAAGATCGCCGTGCCCGGATCCGCTGCCGCCGCGAACATATTTTCTATTGTTGCATAGAAATTTTGTATTATAGCCGCCGCCTACGATTTTTTTCTAGCTTTTTTTACCATATAAATCTAAGCACAAAGAAATGCCTACATCATTTGGATACAACTATTCTGGATGTAAGAACTACTTACTGTGTGTTTTCTCTTCCAATGTTCCTTTACACTAATTTATATTAGACTTTATATCACGGTTGTGACTTTTCCGAATTTTCCCATAAATGTTATATTATTATTTATTAATTAATTGTATATATATATATATATATATATATATATATATATATAAATTATATGTATATATATATATATATATATATATATACATATATATATATATATATATATATATATATATATATATAATATAATATATATATAATATATATATATATATATAATTTATTATTTCCATAAATAAGTCAGAAAAAATAACATCAACTTAAGTATGCGATTACTGCCCTGTGTGAAGGTGAGGACTAGATTAACCCTCCCTTATGTGTTGCTTATTCCTAAGCTTTTATGAACTCTCAATGCCCCCAGTTTTTTTCCTCTTACTTACTGTTTGGGGAAAAAATAAAGTGACGTCACCGATATTATCAGTTGCTCGTGCTGTATCGTAAGCTATGGGCCTACTTCAAATATTTTTAAAACCAAGTTGAACTTATCTGAATTTTTTGGTTTTGGTGGTGGTGTTATTTGGGTTCTTCCATAAATGACGTCACACTCGTAGGGGGGGGGGTCTGTAATTTTATGACGAGCTAGATTTTTAAATTAATGCCGACTGAGACGGGATTTTCTTCTCGCTAACAAGAGCGGGCGATGACAGTAGCACAGCAACGATGTTAGGATTTTTAAATAGATAGATCTAGATATAGATCTATCTATCTTCTTAGTATCTAGATTAAAAAATAACAACATACAACACTCGTGTTAAAGGGTATGGCTAAATGCTTGTTTATTTTAAAACAAAAAAAAATAATTTCAATAAATAAAGATGGAAAAAAAAAGAAAAAAACTTTTTTTCGCAAAAAGTGTCTCGCTATTTACCCTTAATTCCGCAGGTATGTCTCGCATTACCTTCTCGCATTTTCCCGCCTCGCCATTTCGCTTTTCGCGTCTCGCAATTTCCCCACACCCGACGCTAAACTAAGATTTTACCCAATTATCTTTAGTATTTTAGTAAAAAATGCAAAAATACACTCATATTTAAGCCATATTTGTTAGTTACCTTATCCCTACATTACTAGTGACGGCCGAATTGATTACGCTAAAACGATAGATTACCGTAATCATAATATTTTTTAATAGATATTTAAATTTTATTAGAGATAGGGCCTAGGGTAATCTATCGTTTTAGGTTTAGGTAGGCTTACGTAAAATCGCCCGCGACTAGATCTAGATCTAGTAAGTAATGTGAAAAACAGGTGACTCCTTAAATAAATAAATTTTAATAATCATTTCACATTTTGAGGAGGATTTATGTTTTGAAAAATACTGTGAGTCACAGTAGATCTAGAATCTAGATCTCTAGGCCTCAATTTTTATAAATTAATAATCAAGACTCAAGTCTAGAAGTAAGAAGTAAGTAGGCCCATACGAACGGCATACTACTAGACTAAACTAGACTCTATTAAGTTTATTAATTACTTACTAATTAATTACTTAAATGCTGTTTAAAGTTATTTTCTCGCCTATATTGATCTATTTAGCCATTGATTTAGGTTTATTATTCATTTATCTAGCCTATAATATTTGACACAAATATATCACAATATACTTCTATTAAAGCCTTGACAATGAGGTAACTTTTTCGTACATTTCTAGCCGCGGGCGATTTTACGTACTTACTAGAAAATCTAGATCTAGAAATCCAGAAGTAGATTATTCTGATTAATTTATACTTATAGAATAGTAAGAATAAGCCTTAATTTTAATCGTAAGTTAATAGTTAGGGCTAAATTCTAAACACTAAAAAAATAGACCTACTTATTACTACTTAAAATTTAAAAACTTCTATTGCACCTATTGGCTAACGTAACAGGTTTCTTTTCCTAATAAAAAAAACGGTTTGTAGATGCCATTGCATTTTGCCTTTTTTTTTGCAATCAAAATTATCATAGTCATAGGCCCTACGAAAATTACATGATTGATTAATCATATAACACGTCACCTTACAAATTAAAAAGTAAATAGTAGGTCTATGAAAATAGAATATAAATTAAAGTCTATTCGATTCATATAAAATTAATTCTATTTAGGCCTTAGGCCCCATGCCATATACAATGAATAATGAAGTAGTTGTGTACTTACTAAAGTAGTAGGCCTGTTTTAAGTATTATAAGCTTGTCTTAAGTTTCTGTATTTTACTCTTAGAATGAAGATGCATGTGTTAAGCAAAATCAAAGCTCAGAAGAGAATGAAAACAATAAAGATGATGCTGGCAAAGAGGTTGCTATTCAAGCTAATGATTATGAAATTGAAAGAAACTCAAGCCATCTTCCTGCAAGAAAACGATATATTCCTATTAAATTCAGGTAGTTACAAGAATCAATTACATGAAATTACAAAATTTTTTGATTAAAGCTCTTGGTATTATATTGAATTTAATTGATTTTTTTTTTAAATGTATCCAAGGAAAAGAATTTTTTTGTATTTTGTATAATATAATTTAGATCTATATGAAAAAAGGGAATGGTGTGTGTTTGATTGTTTTAGTGCAACTACTATTTAACTTAGTTGGATAAATAAACACCACTGGCTTGCACATTTTTTTCCTTAAAACTTATTTTAAGTTTTTGTAATTAATTAAAATTAAAATTTAACACATGTTTTTTTTATAGGCCTAAGTTTTGTAATTTTTACTGATTTTATGATTAGGGGAAGAGTCTCTAAAAATATAAAATTAAGGGCAGTGGTTTATGGAAACATTATAATTGTATGAAGGAGGTGAGTAAATATGATTTACTCACCACAGTGACTATCGCATCTTTGCTGGATCAGTTGAAGTAAAAGAGGAAGAAGAAGATGATTTTACCTTTGATCCAGAAAAATCTGAGAAGCAATCAAAAGTAGTTGGAAGAGGAAGAGGTGAGGCTAAAAAAATTTTTAAGTGACTCCACCTCAAGGCCTGTCTTTTGCACTCTTTCCTTCATTTCCCTACTCAAACGCTTGGCTTAATTTATTGCAAAATAAGATATTGAAAAATCTCACATTGACAATTTAAATTTATTTTTTTATTTATTTTTTTGGCATAAAGCAATATGCAAGTGTAACACTCAGCTTCAGGGGTCAGCCCTTTTTACCCACTGAGGTGTTGTGGTTAAAAGGGCTGACAGAAGAGCATCCAAAAAAAAACTACTTCAACAGGGTTGCGATCCCACAGGGGCCGCAACCCAATGAATTACAACTTTATTCTTATCCCCCCTTGGCTGGTAACCATATGTATTACACAAGCATCAGATGCATGCTTAGATAAATAAAATGAATATACAACCAAACTGCAATAGTTTTTCTCTACTTTGATCTGGACATACATGACTCGAATGGTTGTATTATCTCCACCACAAGACTAGTCAGTAAGTGGTCAGGTTTTATCTTAGAGCTAGAGAGAAGTTACACACTTTTAGGAAATGTATCCTTTATTTTATAGATGCCAGAAAATACAGGCTTACTTGTAGTAATAGTTTCTGGTTTTAGTAAACAATGCGGCCTTTACAGAACTATTAATTACTTAATTATATATAAACTTTACCTTTTGATTTTACTCAGTGATTAAAAATAAACTGTTCTCTATATGTTAATTCATTAATCTTTTTAAGATTACAATTAGCATTTTCCCTCTTCATATTTATGTATTACGGTAAGCGATATTAAATTTGCATTTTCAACATTCACAGGTCGACCTAGAAAACATCCTTCAACTGCTGATGGTGAGTTGAAGCTCATATTATCCATGTGTGATGTAGTAGGCACATTGGATAAATTGTGCAAAGTTACATCTACCTTGACTAGGCATTAAAGCAACAAGAGTCTGTAGTTTATCTTAATACAATGTTTTTAGGTGTTCTGTCTTGTTGGCTGTTAGTTTTGCTGTATTAAGGATAAAAGAGAACATACTTTTTGAACAAAGCTATATATTTTGAATTGTATACATTCAATATCTTCAACGTTTGTTTTTAACACAATCTCGGATCTGATAACTGGTTTATCTTAATTACAAATAAACTCCCATCTTTAATTCATCAGATGGACAAACTTCAAGCAATGTCATCACCAAAGTCTCATCCGGTTTCAAGTGTGGTGTTTGTGGACGTGTCTTTTCTTTGCGAGGTATTTTTTTTAGGTTTTTTTTTTCAACTTCTCTATAGTTGCTTGAAATTTTTACTGTAACAAGTCCATCATGGTTAATATTTTAGGGAATGCTAAAGCTCATATGATTACTCACACTGACAGTCGTCCATTTACTTGTGACTTTGAAGGATGTGGAAAACAGCTAAGAACAAAAGAGAGTTTACGTAGACACCAGCTAAGTCACCTAGGTAATTTTAGCAACATTACATCTTTATTGGTAATATAAATTTGTTTGTAACTTTTTAATCCACATAATCTTGTGTTTTTTTCAATTATTTTTTTTGTTATTGTTAAATTACAAGCTGTTCTAATTTTCTACAACTAAATGTGCGCCATTGATGTATTTCACAGGAATAAAAATGTTTGAATGTAAAGAATGCAAGAAAAGGTTTAGTTGTAATTCCAGTTTACAGGAACATATGGCTTGTCATAGTGGAGCAAAACCTTTGTCTTGCCACATATGTGATCGCAAGTTTCGACAAGCAGCAGTACTCAAACGTCATACTGTGACACATTCCAATGAGAAACCTTTTGCATGTGGAATTTGTGGCAAGAGATTTTCTATGAAAGTTTATGTACAGTCACATATGAAAACTCATACTGGTCAGTATTTTTCTGACAGCAAATGTTTACAGTAATTTACCTGTTATTTCAATTGTTGAGTGTCTGAGCAAGTGTTACCCATGCAGTGTTTATTTTCAGGAGAAAGACCTTATCTTTGTGATATATGTAACAAGTCTTTTGCCCATGCCTCAGATCTTAATCGCCACAAAATAATACATTCAGGTATTTGAAGTTACTTATGTACAAAACAAGACACACAAAACATGATTAAAAAAAATGTTCTGCATTACATTATAATGTTATGCTGAGAATTAGACCCTAAGAAATCAAAATTTTAAGCAAGAAATTACTTTCATTCGTAGCATTTTATAGCTTATACTTTTTGATGTAAAAAAGCCAATTTTGAAAGTTTAATTTTTTTTTTTGTTGTTGTAAATTTAGGGAAAAAGCCATATGCGTGCTCAGTATGTTCCATGCGTTACAGTGACGCTTCTAGTCGCAGGAGACATGAGCGTGAACACCAGATGAAGCCAGATTACACATGCCATTTGTGTAATCAACACTTCACAAGATCTGGACAACTTCGCAGTCACCTAGTCAAAGAACATAGTTCAGAAAATGACTCTTTATATGAAGTTCATGTTGTGGAAAAAGTCAGTGTGAAACGTTTGAGTTTAATAACAACCTGTTTTTTTACTAAATCATTCTTCTTTCTCTGACATAATCTAATTGTTGATTCCTAACAGTCCCTAACAAAACTATTTTCTGATTAGAAACATAAGTTTTAGACAATTTAAAAAAAAAAAAAACTAAGAAAACAATTTACAAATTCATTATGAAAACCTAGCCTGGGTTAAAAAAGCTTGCCATTTCTTTTCAAGAAAAGTACTGTTTTATCACAAAGCATGTACTATCAAAAGTAAATTAAAGATTATTTGATACCATTATTTAAAAAGACAATATGAATAAATTAGCATAATAAATGCTGTAAGTTAATATTTTTTTAACTCACAGTAGTCTATAACATTGATCCATTTATCTCTTAAATGTGAACCAATTCAACTAATTCTAATTGTGTTACTTTCAGGGCTCATGGAATGAGAAAAATATTCAACCACAAGTGGTTGGTGTAATACAAGACGTTGCAGTGGAACATCTTGACAGTGATCAAAATGACACAGGCAATAGCTTAGCTGAAAATGCAGTCACACATGTTATTGTTGAGACAAGTAGTCAACATCAGGTAATAAACAACATTCATGTAATCAAAATCATTATTTTATATTATAAACTCATACAAACAATAATTTAAAAAAGACTCCATTTTTCCTAATAGTAAATAGTACCATCTTTAAAAAAATTTGAATTTTCTGCTTATGTAATTTTTCTACAATCTACTAGGAAATGAAACCACTAAGAGACACAATGAGTGATGTCAGTTTAAAACATCTTGATGAAGCACAGTTGCCTGGTGAACTTTCTAGTCTTCAGTCTGGATGTACCTACACACTTGTTGGTAACGGAGAGAGTGGCCAGATTTTTGAGCTCAAGTTGGAGGAGAGTAACATTGTGCCTTATGAAGAGTTAGCAGATAACTTAGATGCTCAGGTTACAGATGCTAATGATCACTCTTTGAGGTTGAAGCATGAACCACAGACTTTCACAATAATTGAGCAGAACGCTTGTGTAGAAAATGTAGATGTTGAGGAACCAAATCTCCCCCAGTGGGTTCCACACATGCTAGCCCAACAGCCAGCACAGTTAGGTTTTATTTCCCATCCGAAAGAGCAGGTAACAGCAGATGAGTCAAAGCTAGATACTCAGGAACCTGTTGTACAATATCTAGAATTCAACTTAGAGGCAGGTTTGGACGAAAGAAATGCTTTCTTCACTCATCAAGCTGATGAGGTCAACCAGGAACCTTTGCCTCAAGAAGAGGCACCCGCAAGTAAGGAAATGGTGCTTTTTCCTGTGTTTAGTCTCCTAGAGAAAAATGACTATGTTTATCACCCAGACTTAACAAGTCAAGACTACTACAACTGGTTATCCAATTTTACTGAACATTGTAAAACTCTTGCCATGCCACTTGAGAAGGACATGTTCCAGAAAATAAGCCATGTTCAAAAAACATTGTCAGATTTTATGGCGTTACCAACAGGGGTCATCACTGACAGAAACAACTTTAAAGTGCTAATGGACATCACTCGTGAGATGTCAGACATCATAAGTACACATTTAACTTTTATGTACCAAAATCTTCATTAAATATTTAATCCTGCATTCAAATTGTTAGTTGAGATTTTAAAATGTTTTATTTTTACCACAATGTTCTACATGACATGGCTTTAAAATGAATTTTGTGTAGTGTGGAAGAAAAGATGCATGCCATTGCTTGGCACTGCAAACTTCTTAATTAAGCAGTAATCCAACAAAAATAAATCACTCAGGACTACAAATAATTAGGCCTTTCAAGTACAAAACTGTAAAAACCAAAACACTTGTTGGATATGAGACTGGTTTATAAAATAAAACCAATGAACAACCAAGTTTTATTAATATTTCTGCACATTTTTAAAATCAGTAACAAATTATTCATGGACAGACAAGCCAATACACACAAACATGATAAAAAATGATCACTTGCATGAGAGATAACCATGACAGAAAGTTATGACATTAGGGTATCAATGTATGTTCATTCAAATATTTCTAACCTTAAGGTCATCAAAAAAAAAAAAAAAACAATAAATTAACAAAATGAAGTAAAACAAAATGAAAATGTTATCTGGCTAGTTCTTCTGTATCATTTGACTTTGGCTCTACATTTTCTCGAAGATCTACATGACACAGTGGGCAATTTTCTTTTATTGAAAGCCATTTCTGCAGACAATTTTTATGGAAGACATGTGAACACCTGACAACTACAGCCTCCGTCATATCTTGGTAGCATATTGGACAGATGTCATCATTTTCATCCAGTTGTTCTTGACTGGCAGGCGGTAGTTTATTTACCTTTTCCCAAGCAGACTGTCTAAGTTTATAGGTTGCCAATCCTTTGACAGCTGTCTGATATATATTGCAGTATAGATGAATAATCATCATCACAAATCTTATTATTCCACCCGATTCAAAAATAAATATATATGCACCATTTAAAAACAGAAAAATTCCACAGCAGAACTCTAAACACCCACAAACAGCCTTAATGTAAAAGTTGAAATCATCTAGATGTTCATGTAGGTAGTGGATATGAGACTGCAACATGTTCAGTGAATAAATAGCTAGAGTTGTAATGGACTTTATCACCAGTTCCAAACTAAAAGCAGATATAGCCAGAAGCCAAGAAATACGAAATGGATACTGCCACAAGCGTAGAACCACCAGAAAGGGAAATGAGAAAAAAAAGAAATAAGGCAATAAAGGCCGTAGATGCTTCTTTATAAGGATATCATCAGTGCTGGCCTTAAGAAGCAGCTCAGCAGCAACTGTCTGGATAAAATGTTGATTGGCAACTAGCAGCAGGATGCAGTTCTGAAATAAAAGCTGAAGTCTTGCCTCACTGGCAATACTTGTAATTCCAGTTTGCATAGCCAACAGAACAAATAAAAATCCTGAAACTGCAGGCTGAAAACTTTCTTCTTCTTCATTGGCACCAATAATGTTGTATATTACACTTAAACATCCGCCACTAATTATACTAATTATGCTTGCCATGCTCATCACTGACAGAATAGTTTCACACATTGTATTAACAACTTCTAAAACCAGCAGCTTGGACATACTAAACACTTCAGACCATTTTAAATGAAACATTTCACTATAGGCTGGGCCTTCTGCTATAACAGTCGATGTAGCTGAATAATAAACAACTTTTGAGAGAAAAAAAATCCTCAAGAGCCATGCCATGTTAGCTTGTTCCATTAAACGCATGAGTAGACCATCTATTCCCATTTCTCTCAGGAAAACTTTCACATTTCTCATCACAGGGAAGACAATGGCAATTATAGTTAAAATTACAAAGAATGAATGAATTAGAAGGAGAACTAATGGAAGAAAGATTGACAACTTAGGAGACCATAAGTAAATTATATGCTTGTCACCTAAAATAGAATGCAAAAATATTGGTAAAGTAAAAGATATAAAGAGAAAAATATCTATAGGGTAACGAGCTACTTTAGCAAGCATTTTGTTTCTATACAATGTACCCACTATACAAATCTGATCAAAAGCTAGCACAATAAAAAGTTGAGTAAGTATATTTATTGACATAGATGGCATCTTGGAGACATGTTTGGTTTCCTTAATGTCATAATCAGTCTTTTCTTGATTTAGTTGTCCTAATCCATGAATCAAACGTTTGTTGCAGTGGTATGAGAAAATGAGCAAGCTAAATCCAAGACAACATCCGTAAACTTCAAGCAATGATTCTATCGGGCTGCATATCAGAATCAGTGATGATATTATAACTGAAAAACAAAATCCAATATTTAACAAAAGTTAAAAAACACTGCAATTTATCAGCTGCTATAATGTCAGGTTAAAAATAGTTTATATAGAATAAAGTTTTATAATACGATTCATGGTGATAGTAAATAATGTCTAGTACCATTTCATAATTACAATGAGTAATGACTACTGCAGTAATCAGTGTAATACTTTTGAACTCCCACAAGCAACAATGCTGGATAAAGTAGTAATTTGTTGGAAAAAACTTGATGTTGAATTATTTTAGCCTGTTTTTAGGCAGAAATGAACTCTTGACTCAAACATGATAAGACCTGCTTTTTTATTTTGCCTATAAATAAGTGTAAGTATAATTCTGAAGAGAGGGTGGTCATAATCTTTGAAAACGCTAATGCACTAAATTTCCATTATTTTTTCATAAAGTCTTAAGGCTTTTAAAATTGAGAAGTAAAATTTATAGGGCCACTACGGGATTTTTTTGTGAAGAAAGTCTCACCATTAAGAATAAATAACCGGAATTCAAATTTAATAAGCATCTCATTTTTAGAATTTTATTATTCAGAGGTAATCTAGCATATTAGGTACGTAAAATCTGCCAAGGCTATGAACGTTAAAAAAGGTGACTCATTATTACGACTTGTATATTGTGATATATGCTGGTGGAGAAGAGGGGGGAGGGCTATATACTCATTGAAAGCGAGAGAAAAATAATTAACTGAGGTATTGACCTTAAATGACGTTGCGGCATGTGGGTATACTTTTTCCCCTCGAAAAAAAGTTAGGCAGTATGATAATAAAGTCGCGCAGTGTCGTGTCACGATGTAGACTTAATGAGTAAAAGTGGGACAGCTCAAAATGTATACCGTCCTATGTTAAAGTTTTTATATGCACTGACTGTGACCCCTCAAACGGCGGTTTATATTTTTTCTCGCACAGTTTAGAAAACGTGAGTGGGCTAGAAGAGGATGACAATGTTTAGAATTTTGAATTTCTAGAAGTGGACGACAATGTTTCGAATATCTAGATATAGATTTTAAAAATATAGCCTAAAATAATATTCTCTTTATGAACACTGACCCATCTATTGAGACGGGATTTTTCTCCCGCTGACAAGAAAGCGAGAGCGGGCTGTCATAATAGGATGTTAAGGATTTTAAAAATAAACATAGATTCTAGATCTAGATCTATATAAAAAATCAAAACTATAGATTTTTAAAAAGAACAACACACAACATTCGTGATAGAGATCTATCAGCTTTTTTAGTTAATAACTATAAAAAAAACATTAGGCCTAAATAAAAAATTTTCCTCAAATTGTATCTCGCAATTTATTATTTATCCGTGATTTCGCAGGTATGTCTAGCATTTTCTTCTCACAGTTTACCACCTCGCCATTTCACACCTCGCAATTTCCCAACACCCTGATTTCACTCAGATCTTAAATCTAGAATCTAGATATAGAATCTAGATTAGAATCTACCTGGTCCTGTCCTAAAGTTAGTAAACTAAAACTAACTAAAAGACAAACTTAAATCAATGTCCTAACTGTAAAACAATAGAAGATTACCTCTGTCTAAAGCCTAAAAATAATTTTTTTATCTTATTTTAGTTATTACTAAATTAGTAATTACTAGGCCTAATTAACTAACAAACCTAATACTAGGAACAAATTCCAGAGAATTATTGCGATAATATGATAAGGCTGCTGTTGTAAAACATCCTCATCAAGGCCAGTAGGAAGATCATTATCCAGTTCATCCGTGGATTTAAAAAAATAAGAGTCCCATGACTGAAAATCACCGAAACTGTAAGCCCAGTTAGAAAGCGTCCCTTTTAGAATACTATCAACTATAAAAAGCAAAGGCAGACGTCCCAATACCACAAAGAGTCTTTTGACAGTCGACATAGCTGAATCGAAACATCTGTTTGTGAAATGTTTATTTCTAGAGAATCTAGATCTAGACTCTATTATTTGTTTCTTTTTGAGTTAACAAAATGTTTTGCTATCCACGGAAACAGTATGGCAGAAGTTTACCGAAAATAACCGAATGTTGCACAACAGTAACATGACACTTTTAAAATTAAATTAGAATTTATTTAAAATCTAGATCTAGATCTAGAGATCTAGATCTAGAGATCTAGATCTAGATCTAGATAGATCTATAGCAAAAGATAAAATTTAAAAAAAAATGGAGGGTTGCTAACTAACGGTATTGGCCATAGAAAAGTTGCATGCTAATTACACTAGTAATTAGTATTAGCCTCTTTGCTAACAGAGTTTCTTTCAGGCATCTCTTTTACCGCCCCCCCCCCCCCGAACGAAATGAAATTTATATAATTTATATAGAAAATATATACTTTTAACAGTGTTCGCCCCCCCCCCCCCCCGAAGAAAGTCTACCGCCCCCCCCCCTGAAAATTTCAAGTGCCCCCCCCCCCCCGGAGAAAAAAGTCTGGAAGAAACACTGTTTGCTAACTAAGTAACTATTAACTATTGCTAACACATAGAAGACTAAAATCAATGCGAATACATTATACATTTTGCGCATTTAGAATACAGCAGTTTCAAGCAGTGTTTCTTTTAGACATCTCTCTGGGAGCCCCCTCCCCAGGAGCTCCTCCTTTCCCACCCCCACCGTATTATAACTATTTTAAACAGTGTCCGCCTCCTCACAGATGTTTCACCCGGTGCGGCACTTAATGGTGTCACCCCACAGAGGCGTTGCGAACCTTCCCGGTGACAAACTTTCAAATTTTCGATTTGTAACCCCCCCCCCTCTCAAACTTTCGATTTGCTACCCCCTCAAACTTTCGATTTGCACCCCCTCTCTAGTTTTTCTCTATATATTTTGGTATTTTTTGCCTTGGTGTCACCCCCCCCCTAAATGGTGTCACCCGGTGCGGTCCGCCCCCCCCCCCCCCCCGCGCTACGCCTCTGGATCTAGGCCCTATTGACACCTAAAAATGGTAGCTTCAAACATATCTAGAACTCGCCAGCCTCGTAAAGCAATTAATCTGAGAGAGGGGTCGTTCTGAATCTAGATCTAATATCTGTTGCATTGCTGTTCAAATTGCATCAGGAGTAAACCTCAATTTAAAAAACAAAAACAAGAATGGGCACCCGTAGAATCTACGGTAGATGGGTTTTTTAATAGCAGCTAAATGTAGCAGCCGTAGATCTATATCTTACAGGGATAAAATCTTGTTTAATATTAGGCATTAGGTCTAGATCTAGATAGGTGTTTTTTTAATTTTTTAAACTATAATTACAATTCTACAATAACAAAAAAAAAGTCTATGGTTGTAGGATTGTGCTGAATCACTTGTGTTTTTTAAATAGATTTAGATCTAGTCTATGTGTTGTTGAGAATTTAAATGTACATTTTGACGAGTTATTGTATGTAGAATCTATTTAAAAAATAAGCATATTGTCGCGCATTCCCTCCCTTCTTAATTTCAAAAATCAATTCTGAAATTAGGTTCAATTTAAAAATTACAAAATAAACGTTTGGGGACCATTTATTTTACATAAGAATATTTAAATTTGTTACCAGTTTTTTAAAGTTTTGATCTGGCAATCCTTACTCAATGTAAATATTAGTATTAGGCTATCCAAAATCTTCAAGTAACTTAGTAAGTAGTAAGTAGTCTTGTGGTAGATTATTTACTATACTATATTTAGAGTCTAGAATCCGTCTTCAGATCTAGATCTAAATACAAAGATCTAGATCTAGGTAGTATATAAGTATATGGTCTATAGATCTATATTATTTCTATCTAGATCTATGAAACTATATTATTAATTACTATTAGGCATTAGGACTCATTAGGTAATCTATCGTTTTGGGTACGTAAAAAAATCGCCCGCGGCTATTAATGTACGAAAACGTTACCTCATTGTCAAGGCTTTAATAGAAGTAGACTCTATATTGTCATATGTTTGTGTCAAATATTATAGATAAATGAATAATAAACCTAAATCAATGGCTAAATATATCGATATAGGCCAGAAATTAACTTTAAACAGCAGTGTCTGAGAGCAAGATTTGCTATATAAACAGCAGCCATTTGTAAAATAGAGTGGCTTCCCCCTGAATCTTGCGCTATAAGCTTATAAAAATAAAACTTAAACAAGAAGGCTGCTATAGTAAATGAGCATTGTTGCATCTGTTGGAAACATCGCTAGTCTTCATTTATAACGGAAAAGTTTTAATTCAATTGTTTAAAAACTTAAAATAAAAGCAGGTACATAAATGAAACAAGGAAACATTTTTGTATTTTAAAAAACATAAATCCTCCTCAAAATGTGAAATAATTATTAAAATTTAAGGAGTCACCTGTTTTTCACATTACAAGTCGCGGGCGATTTTACGTACCCAAAACGATAGATTACCCTATATTATTATTTATTATAGATCTAGAGACCATTAGTCATGAGGCCTACTAATAATACTACTATAGTTAGTTAGAGTTAGACTCTAAACTTTAGTAGTTTTTAGACTAGACAGTTTGAGTTTAGTATTTGTGGTAATCGGTGGTAATCTATCGTTTTAGGTACGTAAAATCGCCCGCGACTAGTAATGTGAAAAACAGGTGACTCCTTACATTTATAATTATTCACATTTTGAGGAGGATTTATGTTTTGAAAAATACAAAAATGTTTCCTTGTTTCATTTATGTGTCTGTTTTTAAACAATTGAATTAAAACTTTTCAGTAATAAATGAACACCAGCGATGTTTCCAACAGATGCAATCATGCTCATTTACTATAGCAGCCATCTTGTTAAAGTTTTATTTTTATAGACTTATAGCGCGAGATTCAGGCGTAGATATTAAAGCAAGGATAGGCAAAGCAAGAGCAGCCTTCGCACAGTTAAGAAACATCTGGGCTTCCAGTGAGCTTTTCTTGACCACCAAAGCGCACCTTTTAAAACTATGGCTACTAAAACAAAATGTCCCGAGTTCAAAGCCTTGGACAGACAGGGCTTGATAGCTGGGAACAGCAATTCTTCTAGGAGAGGAAACTCCAAACGAAACAGCTGCTTCCTTGTAGTTTGTGCTTGGTTGGACAAAGGCTATGAAAACAAACCCAAAAGCAGGCTGAATTTAGATTCAGCAGCCTATATGGCAAATAACAACAGGTTGACACATATTACTAAATTGTGTAGGAGGAAATCCCATCCAACATTACAATTAAAAATGAAGAAAAGAACTACAATGTAAAATCAATAATGCTGTATGGTACAGAGACTTGGAGGATGACAAAGACCATCATGGTTCAAGTCCAGACCTTTATAAACAGCTGTCTCAGACAAGTTCTCAGGATCTGCTACACCTTCAGCACCCATTCTCTGGGTCCATCCAGGTGAAATGCAAAGTTAGAAGGAAAAACCCTTGAGGAAACTGATCATAGCAGCTTACAACTTCTGGTTTAGAGCTTAGTTTGAGCTCATTTGAGTTATGTCTGTATATAGTATGCTATGGTACTTTTCAGTTGTTTTTTTTTTTAAATGAAGTTACTCTTTGTACCGGAAAATATGTACTTCAGATAATGTAGAGTCACCTGCTGTCAGCTTAGTTTGGTAATTTCTATATTCAGTCATCAATATTGGATTGAAATATGAATCTTAAACTATATAGAACTAAAAGATAAATATGCTTATAGGCTTTTATATATATATATATATATATATATATATATATATATATATATATATATATATATATATATATATATATATATATATATATATATATATATATATATATATATATATATATATATATATACACATATATATACATATATATATACATATATGTATACATATATGTATACATATATATACATATATGTATACATATATGTATACATATATGTATACATATATGTATACATATATGTATAATTATTTTATTTATTTATTTATTTAATTTTAATCATTATATTTTTTAAATTTGTAACTGCAATCCAAATTATTAATAAATAAACTCTGATACTTTTTAAAGGTTTTTAAAAAAATTACATGCCCTTCAGCAGGTATTTGTTTCACCATGACACTAACAGGGGCAATAGTGGTATTTCTAACATCGTTATCTGCCCTCCCAGTCTCATATACCTTCAATAAAATCTCAAACATCAAAGATCAAAGGCTGATACTGATCACTGGACTCTTGTCCTTCACTCTGGTGGCAGGAGTGCCATGGATGATTCTCAGGAGGAAGCTACAAAAAGTCGACTCATTTTTTTATGGTAAGTAGATCTAATGTAAATCATAATAAAAAATGTTTCTTACTATGCAAATACAAGACTTGAATAAATATTTTAAACATACCTTGAAGATTTTATATTGTTGTAATGTAAATTAGACATTTTTTGCTCTAACCATATCAAGTCAGTAAAGGCATTTAAGCATGATTCAACTTTTTACATAGTATCATGTTCAAGGTGGACCTTTTGATTATTAAATTTGTTAAAATTGGAATGTTTTGATTTTTCAAAAATCAGTATCAGCTATTTGTCATCATAAAATGTTCTGGTTTCACAATAATGCCGTAACTTTTCTGCTATAAAGCTATTTCAACATTAGCCAGTATATTTAATTCATTTACTATTATTTTCATTAGTTTAAGATTTTAAAACTATTCTACAAATACAGGTGCAAATAATTATCTGTACTTTTTAAGAAAACAAAATCTGCCTTCAGTCCTCAGCCTGCTAACATTCAGTTCTGTATTGAGCCTGATAATAGCCTTAGAAAATGATGGACTTATTGCTGAATTTATGGGCCACTATCTGCGTGAAGGGGAGCCATACCTTAAAACAGCTCATGGAACCATGATATCCTACTGGGATGGCATTGCTCATTATGCCCTCTACCTTATGATGCTTGCAGCCCTCTCTTGGAAGTGAGTCGTACGTACTTTTTTGGAGTGTAAATTGTCTTTATTGATATAAATAGTTTAATAACTATATTTTTATGAAGCAAATATTTTGCTGAACTCCTATCATTAAAGTTGTATCTCTTAAGTGACTAACAAGAAGTTTCACCGGAACTTTCACTTCCTCCCACTCACACAAAAAGCCAAGCAGTCACTTTTCTTACTTTTTCTTCTTTCTACTTCTTTGTTCTTAGTTTTAGTGTTGGAAAAGATTCCCTCAAACACTGTTAAGTATTACGTGTCAACTGTTTATGCGCCATATAAGCCGTTGACTCCGATTTCTGTCTGCTTTTCTTTTTGGATTTGCTTTTTAAAATGGTTTCATTTATTTTAACATTTTGAGTAATTTTAAAATGTTTTTTTTTTTACTTTCCTTTTTTTCTTAGCCAAAGTTTCTATGATGTAGGATTATACTGGGTTGGATCATTTGCCTACAGCAAGTGTGTACTGGTGTTGGCTGTATTCATGAGTAAGGACATAATTCATTTACTAATTGTTTACTAGTGTGCTCCTAATGTGGGTATCCAAAAGATATTTGTGTGATGTTTGTTAGCCACTTTTTACTTCTATTCACCAGGTAAAGAAGGTTTGTCTTGGCCATTTCTCCTCAACTTTCCATGTATAGTTATTTGTGTCATGGTGGCAATGAGATTTCTCAATGAAAAATATGAGGAAAGTTGTCGAATACAAGAGGATATTAAAAATGAGGTTAAATATTTTTTTAGATAGTAAATGTTCAGTATTAAACCTGATTATTTTTAAAACTAAAAGGTTACTTATGAAAACAAACTTAGATAGTAAATGTTCAGTATTAAACCTGATTATTTTTAAAACTAAAAGGTTACTTATGAAAACAAACTTAGATAGTAAATGTTCAGTATTAAACCTGATTATTTTTAAAACTAAAAGGTTACTTATGAAAACAAACTTAGATAGTAAATGTTCAGTATTAAACCTGATTATTTTTAAAACTAAAAGGTTACTTATGAAAACAAACTTAGATAGTAAATGTTCAGTATTAAACCTGATTATTTTTAAAACTAAAAGGTTACTTATGAAAACAAACTTAGATAGTAAATGTTCAGTATTAAACCTGATTATTTTTAAAACTAAAAGGTTACTTATGAAAACAAACGAAACAATTCTGCAGGAAAAAGATCTGCTTTTAAAGCTCAGAAAACGCCCATTGGATATAGCACTTATTATCTACTACGTCTTTGCTGTGTGTGTCACCATCTTTAGATTTATTGTAAGTACCAGATATCTTTCTCACATTGTATCCCTCTTTTGCCTGTACCCAATTACCTTTTGACATTAGATTTATTATTGTAAGCTCTAGTACCCAACTACCTTCTGACATTTGATTTATTATTGTAAGCTCTAGTACCCAACTACCTTCTGACATTTGATTTATTATTGTAAGCTCTAGTACCCAACTACCTTCTGACATTTGATTTATTATTGTAAGCTCTAGTACCCAATTACCGTCTGACATTTGATTTATTATTGTAAGCTCTAGTACCCAACTACCTTCTGACATTAGTTAGATTTATTATTGTAAGCTCTAGTACCAAATTACCTTCTGACATTTGATTTATTGTAAGCTCTAGTACCCAATTCACTTCTGAGATTTGATTTATTATTGTAAGCTCTAGTACCCGACTACCTTCTGACATTTGATTTATTATTGTAAGCTCTAGTACCCATTTCACTTCTGACATATGATTTATTAGTACCCAATTCACTTCTGACATTTGATTTATTGTAAGCTCTAGTATCCAATTCACTTCTGACATTTGATTTATTGTAAGCTCTAGTATCCAATTCACTTCTGACATTTGATTTATTATTGTAAGCACTAGACTTTAATTGTATTCCTTTTATTGCCATGGGTTTATGTAATTATGTAAGTAGCAAAACCATTTTGTTTGCTATGTATCTGAGTTGTGGCAATTCTAAATGTAATTATTTATTCCTGTGTTACAGGCAGTGATGGACGGAAATGTCCAGATTGTCAACATCTATAAAGAAAGAATTGAGCCTTATCTCACAGATCCTATTCCTTACCCTAAAGCACAGGTAAATATTGTCTGTCCCTGTTATATAAAGATACAGGTAAATATTGTCTGTCCCTGTTATATAAAGCTGCAGGTAAATATTGTCTGTCCCTGTTATATAAAGCTGCAGGTAAATATTGTCTGTCCCTGTTATATAAAGCTGCAGGTAAATATTGTCTGTCCCTGTTATATAAAGCTACAGGTAAATATTGTCTGTCCCTGTTATATAAAGATACAGGTAAATATTGTCTGTCCCTGTTATATAAAGATACAGGTAAATATTGTCTGTCCCTGTTATATAAAGCTGCAGGTAAATATTGTCTGTCCCTGTTATATAAAGATACAGGTAAATATTGTCTGCCCCTGTTATATAAAGATACAGGTAAATATTGTCTGTCCCTGTTATATAAAGCTGCAGGTAAATATTGTCTGTCCCTGTTATATAAAGCTGCAGGTAAATATTGTCTGTCCCTGTTATATAAAGCTACAGGTAAATATTGTCTGTCCCTGTTATATAAAGATACAGGTAAATATTGTCTGTCCCTGTTATATAAAGATACAGGTAAATATTGTCTGTCCCTGTTATATAAAGCTGCAGGTAAATATTGTCTGTCCCTGTTATATAAAGATACAGGTAAATATTGTCTGCCCCTGTTATATAAAGCTACAGGTAAATATTGTCTGTCCCTGTTATATAAAGATACAGGTAAATATTGTCTGTCCCTGTTATATAAAGCTGCAGGTAAAATATTGTCTGTCCCTGTTATATAAAGCTACTTACTAAATTCTCCTTGTATTTATATTCCTTGCTACAGCTGATGGTCCAGACATTGTATTTTGTCCCCTACTACATGATGAACATTTATGCCTTGATAGTTCCTGGTCAGTCCTGGGTTCTAAGATGGTCACTAATTCAGGCTGGGGCTGCTGGACAGGTAAACCAATAGATAATAGAGGAGCTTGGGGGAGCTGTCAAATATTTCTAGATTTTTGTGTCTCTTGTAGCCATTATTCATGTCATCTAAAAGTACAGAAATAAAAGACACTTCAGCTACATATAATAAACTTCAAGAGAATTTAGTATTTTGACCAATGGCCCATGGTTATCTTAGGGTGGAGGTAATGTGTACTGTAACGCTGTGAATCATGGTTATCTTAGAGTAGAGGTAATGTGTGCTGTAACGCTGTGAATTCTCTCCTCAGGGCCAGTTCTCGTACATGGGCTCTTCCTTTCACTACCGGACACCTTACATCTACCGTGTCCCACAGACTGGCCTAGCCAGGCTGCTCTTTTGGCTGATCAATGGGGCCATGTTTGCCGGGCCGCAGTTGGCTGCATTTAGGTACCTCAGTCAGCCCCAGTTTTTCTTGAGAGACCAGGCGGTGTCCACACAGGAACAGACAACTCCAGTTAGCAATGGCAAGGCAGTTCTCTCTACAAGCAATAAAAAGTCTGACTAAATGTCTTTAGAGACATGCATGTTTGTAGAGACAGACATGCAGGCATGTCTGTAGACAGGCATGTCTGTAGAGAGGCAGGCATGTCTGTAGAGACAGGCAGGTATGTCTGTAGAGACAGGCAGGCATGTCTGTAGAGACAGGCAGGCAGGCATGTCTGTAGAGGCAGGCAGGCATGTCTGTAGAGACAGGCAGGCATGTCTGTAGAGACAGGCAGGCAGGCATGTCTATAGAGACAGGCAGGCATGTCTATAGAGACAGGCAGACAGGCATGTCTGTAGAGACAGGCAGGCAGGCATGTCTGTAGAGACAGGCAGGCATGTCTGTAGAGACAGGCAGGCATGTCTGTAGAGACAGGCAGGCAGGCATGTCTATAGAGACAGGCAGGCATGTCTATAGAGACAGGCAGGCAGGCATTTCTACAGAGACAGGCAGGCAGGCATGTCTACAGAGACAGGCAGGCAGGCATGTCTATAGACACAGGCAGGCATGTCTGTAGAGACAGGCAGGCAGGCATGTCTATAGAGACAGGCAGGCATGTCTATAGAGACAGGCAGGCATGTCTGTAGAGACAGGCAGGCATGTCTGTAGAGACAGGCAGGCAGGCATGTCTGTAGAGAGGCAGGCAGGCATGTCTGTAGAGACAGGCAGGCAGGCATGTCTATAGAGACAGGCAGGCAGGCATGTCTATAGAGACAGGCAGGCAGGCATGTCTATAGAGACAGGCAGGCAGGCATGTCTGTAGAGACAGGCAGGCATGTCTGTAGAGACAGGCAGGCATGTCTGTAGAGACAGGCAGGCAGGCATGTCTATAGAGACAGGCAGGCAGGCATGTCTATAGAGACAGGCAGGCATGTCTATAGAGACAGGCAGGCAGGCATGTCTACAGAGACAGGCAGGCAGGCATGTCTATAGAGACAGGCAGGCAGGCATGTCTATAGAGACAGGCAGGCAGGCATGTCTATAGAGACAGGCAGGCAGGCATGTCTACAGAGACAGGCAGGCAGGCATGTCTATAGAGACAGGCAGGCATGTCTGTAGAGACAGGCAGGCAGGCATGTCTGTAGAGACAGGCAGGCAGGCATGTCTGTAGAGACAGGCAGGCAGGCATGTCTATAGAGACAGGCAGGCATGTCTGTAGAGACAGGCAGGCAGGCATGTCTGTAGAGACAGGCAGGCAGGCATGTCTGTAGAGACAGGCAGGCAGGCATGTCTATAGAGACAGGCAGGCAGGCATGTCTATAGAGACAGGCAAGCAGGCATGTCTATAGAGACAGGCAGGCAGGCATGTCTATAGAGACAGGCAGGCATGTCTGTAGAGACAGGCAAGCATGCATGTCTATAGGCAGGCAGGCATGTCTATAGAGACAGGCAGGCATGTCTATAGAGACAGGCAGGCAGGCATGTCTATAGAGACATCACTAGCTACTGAGGTTTCTTGATTTATTGTTTTACCTCAAGCTCCTGTATCCACCTACCTCTGACCTTCCACAGATCCATGATTTTTGTGCTAGTGCCTTGACTTTCTTAGCAATTCTGATAGCAATAATGTCCTGATTTTAGATTGTGGTGAAAGAAAGCTAGTAGTTAATTTTGTTTTGTTTCTCTACATTTTTGTCTACGGTATATTTGTCTTGTGTGAAACAAAAATGTGGCCAGTTGTTTTGTGTGCATCATATTGAAGGAAATATTTTATGTGTAAAAACAGAACTTGAAATTTTATAAGTGTGTGATGCAAGAGAACATGATATTTATTAAATATTTGTGTGTGATATCAGAGAATATTATTTGTATATAAGTGCTTCATCAGAGAACATGAGATTATGTAAGCATGTATCATCAGAGAACTTGCAAATGTTATAATTTTTTGGCTATGATTTACATGTTGATTGATGTTGTTGTTGAACTAGTCCTAGGGATATGCATTTAGCAATAACTGACCTAAAGAGCTATAATTTGTAATCCTAAATTATGAACGTGTTATTTATGGTACACCAGACAACAGAATTTTTTATGTGTTTATTTGATATGTATGTTTTTACTGTCATCTCCAATCTAGCCAGGAAGAAATACAATATAATAACCAGTACATCAAAAAGTCTTTGTGTCTTCTGTAGCAGCTCTCGTGGCTTAGATTTCAAGTTGAAAAAAGAAATGGAGTAAAAAATATAGAGTAGGGTTTATAAGTTTTCATAGAAGTATTTGCACTAAAAAAAATTATTTTCCTTAAATGTCTTTATAATGCACTACTTTTAAAACAACTAGAAAATAATATTTGGTTTGATATGTGGTATATTGAGCGTCTCTGGTCCACCCAGCTCTGATGGATACCTAACTCATGTTAGGAAAGTAAAGGCGGCTGGGCAAAGTGCAGACCACACCTTCCCTTCATAAGCTGAGGTCAAGAAACATGAATTCTACTTCATCTGCCCAATGGTCTAAAGAGGATTCTTTTTTTTTTTATTGAAAAAGTTAGGAAACCTTTTAGAAGATTTAATATAATCTGGCCAGTGGCGGAACTAGAAAAAATGGGCCACCCCGCAAAAAATTTTTTTGGGCCCCCCCATATATGTATATATATATATATATATATATATAAACACACAATACGAACATAGGATACTTATTTCTGGCCTGATCGGGTTTTGAAAAAAAAAATTCAATTAAATCTAATCACAACAACATGTCATGTGTATCAGTGGCGGAACTAGAAAAAAAGCCCCCCCCCCCCCCGTTGAATTTTTTTCGGCCCCTATATATATATATATATATATATATATATATATATATATATATATATATATATAAAGGTTCGCTCTCAATTTAAAAAAAAATTCCATCTGGTACACGAATAAATCAGAGGTTTTCCAACACACGAGCTGGCCCCTTTCTAAATCTAGTCCAACACACTAAACTGAGGCTTTCATCAAAACGTTACTAACCGTGTGCCCTGTTTTCCAGAAGTTGAAATAAATGTTAACAATGTCGGCAGTTCATTTCTTGGATCTTAGGGCGCGGGTTTGTCCACACTACCAACTAGACACGCCAAGGCATGCTGTAAATCCCTCGGAGACGGCCCAGGTGTCAGGGGAGTCACGGGGCTCTTGGAGCTACCGGTTACATTACTGCACGGGTGATGGGTGTGACACATTGTTTCTTCCGGCAGAGCACCTCCCCTCCCACGAAAACAGTCTACCCTGGAAGAAACATTGGTGCGACACCTAATTAGATTTAGTCATCGAGTGTAGTAGCGAGACTTATTCCTAGTGTTGTGGGAACTTTTAAACGATTGTCTGTGGGGGCCAACTTGCTCATATGTGATGCGCTCAGGATGACACTGACGCCAGTTGTATTCAAGTAGTAACCTCATCCGCTTATGCAGGATCACGGGGTGCTAAATCACATATTTCCGTTAGGAGTCCCCACTCAAATATGTACAAATGTTAGGCCTATGACAGAAACCTTTGCGGGGCTGTACTCAACAGCTTCCCAAGTTTTCATGGCGATTGGGTGAATGATGCAGTAATGCATAATAATAATAGAGAGAAAAATGTTTTTCACATGTACAACTGTATGTGGCCAGGTCACGCGTTGGATAACCTTCTGATTTAGGGGAGGGGGGGGATTAACAAAAAGCCTGACCCTCACACACCCCCACCTCAATGACTATTAATAATGTTCAATTAATTCTAAACGTTCTAATTAATTTCTAAATAATTATATAAAAAATAATCTTACCTGCCATGTTTTGTAAATTAATATGTGTTGACTAGATCTAGTGCTGTCTAGTGTCTGACAAAATGTGCTGAAGTGGTGCATCGTACGGTTAGGAAGTAGTTCATAAACGATACATTTATCTCCTCGATACTTGTGAGGTTGAGAAAGAGGGATGGGATAGGGGTCGGCTCGGGAAAAAACTTGAAAAGGACAACAAAACGCCTTGATCTATGTATGTCAGCATCGCCCATTGTAAAACTTACTCAGGGGAGATAATTTGAAGTATAGGCCTTAAAAGTTTACTATATTTCTTGTAAAATCAAAAACAAGTAAACGTATATAAAACTGAAGTTTCTAGTATTATATTATTTTTTTTAAAATTATTTGTACGATACAAGATAGTACAGGATACAAATTCAACCACTATCACAAACACATATTAACATTGAAAAATGTACAATGGATTTCGGGTCTCCTACCAATGCCGCAAATAAGAACCGCGCATCATGAAAGTATTGCAAGCCCACTTCATATGTAGCGGCTTTTCGTGCTATGGACTTGTTTTTTTTAAAAGAATTTTGCCGGCCACAGCGTGTGTTTGAGGGGTCGGCGTGGTCGAGTCGGTAAAGCTCATGGTTGCTAAACCGAAAAGTCTCGAGTTCGAACCCTCGGGCAGATGAGGCTCGTTAGCTGGGGACAGCCACTCTTCTAGGAGAGACAACTCCAAAATTAAACAACTGCTGCCTTGTAGTTTGTTCTTGGTTGGACAAAGGCTATGGAAGCAAATCCAAAAAGAAAAGCAGGCTGAAATCGGAGTCAATGGCCTCAATGGCGCATAACCAGTTGACACGTAACGCTTAATTGTGTTGGAGGCGTGGTCGAGTCGGCAAAAAGCTCATGGTTGATAAATTCGAACAGTCTCGAGTTCAAACCCACTGGCAGATAAATCTCGATCCCCTTCAACACTAATAATTAAGAACGAAGAAGAAGAAGAAGAAGAAAAACAAGTAAACGTATATAAAACTGAAGTTTCTAGTATTATATTATTTTTTTAAAAATTATTTGTACGATACAAGATAGTACAGGATACAAATTCAACCACTATCACAAACACATATTAACATTGAAAAATGTACAATGGATTTCGGGTCTCCTACCAATGCCGCAAATAAGAACCGCGCATCATGAAAGTATTGCAAGCCCACTTCATATGTAGCGGCTTTTCGTGCTATGGACTTGTTTTTTTTAAAAAGAATTTTGCCGGCGACAGCGTGTGTTTGATTGTAGGGAAATAGAACTCGGCCTTGACGATGGTTAAAAAATACAACTATAAATAACTGTTTTAAATATGTAAAGAATTTGTCGACAATTTTTTAACCCCCTTTTTGGTCCCCATCCCCTGCCGCATCCGCCACAGTATACTTTGGAGGATCGGTCAAACAGTTACGTGTCCTCTATTTAGCTATCAAAGGGAGGGGGGGGGGGGCAACGAGTCAAAGAAGTCATTCAAAATTTGAAGAGTAGCCTATATTTTACACTGTAGTTTGTGTAATGGATTTTATCTTTTGCGGAAGAGCGTGGTATAGTGACTGTAAAATAAAGATAATCGTACCGCAGCTACAGTGTTTTTCTTTTACAAACCAAATATTAAGGCAAAAATCAAATTCAAAATTTAAAAAAAAAAATAATTTGGTCAGCCGTGGGCCCCTAAACGCCCCCCCCCCCCCCCCGCGCATTGCGGGGTCTGGCGGGACTGTAGTTCCGCCCCTGTTCATCAGGTAAATGAACAACTACTGACTAGTGTCTTTAACAAAATGTGCAGAAGTGGTCAGTTTACAGTTCATAGACGGTTCGTTAATCTATGCATTACATCTTATTGTAAGAGTAAGGGTGTGGTGAGGGGTAGAAGTGAGGGGTAGGGGGAGGGGGGGGGGGGAGAGAGTTGGGAAGGGAAGGGGACAAGAAAGCGCCGATAAACATCTACATCAATAGTGCCGACTTTTTCCGATCGTCTAGCAGACCAGGATAGTCGCCTCGCCGCAACATTTCCCCAGCCCGATTTCAAAGCGTACCGGCATAGTCAAATTTCAGATGCTTCGTCTTTGAAGTTGTCTATATGTCTGGCGGTCTCTCGAGCTATAGTCAGTGCATTTTTCTCAAAGACGTTTGCCGACTATCGTGTTTGTTTGTAACTGTAGAAGAAAGATAACTCGACCTCCACCTAATTTTTTTTTTTTTTAAATAATTTAGCCAGGATTTTTGGGCCCCCAATTGGTCTGCCCCCCCCCCCCCCCGCATTGCGGGGTCTGGCGGCACTGCAGTTCCGCCCCTGAATCTGTCCCACTTAGGTTTTTTTTTTTATAAGATACTAGTCAGATTTTCTTGCACAGTGCACAAATAAGGCTGTAGGTCATTATTTATTTTCTGAAATTGAATGCCTTAGATTTTATGATAAAATCCATGCTTTTATTTATTGTTAAATATATAGTAGTGAAAATATATTAAATTAACTTTTGCAATTCCTTTTTTCAATTTCACTACAATACATAGCTTAATTTATAAAGAAATATCTATTTAAAAGAATGCTATACTTTGTGATTTTTGTTTTTTCTTTAAAATAGTAAAACACGTTACTTAATTTTTTTACTTTAAAAAGTTACCTCCCCTGTGAAAATACCAAATGGCTTAGCCTTTGTTTACTTTTTCACGAGCAATTGTTTATATGAGGAAATACGGCATCTGGACAAATCTATCGACCCTAAGGGGTTTTTCTGAATGGAATAATGTGTTGTTTTTTGTTTGTTTTTTTGTTACCCTCCGGGCTCGGTCTACGACCTCACAAAATATTAGAGTGATCGTTCGTCAATATATATATATATATATATATATATATATATATATATATATATATATATATATATATATATATATATATATATATATCATGTAAGGAGGAATTCAGTCGCATTCATTGTTTAACCCTCGTGGAGGGCTTTGAGTCGAACCGACTATTTTTCCATACGGCCTAGCCATTTACCTAGGTGCATGCAAAAATTTAGCTGTGTTGAAATTACTTTCTGTTTTTCCCATAAATTACAAAGGTTATATAAGGAAATACGACTAGCATGTTTTCTCTATCATTAGCAGGTTTATGCTAAAGCATATTAAACGGGTCAATGTATAATTTTCGTTTAGATTCCTAGAATATGTCGATACATTTAAATAACAGTAGGTCGAAAAAACTAATTAATTAAACTGTTTTGTAATTTTGCCAAGGGAATTTATGGAAAATTTATATAGAAAACATATACTTTTACTAGTGTCTGCCCTCCCGGAAAATGTTGTCCGCCTCCTCCCCCCCCCCCCCCCCGGAGAGAAATTCTGGAAGAAACACTGATTTATAGTACTCTTTGGATTGAGATGAGGGGATATGGTTGACTCAATAATGAAACAAACTTATAGAAACAAACGAACTGAAATCCAGCGGACACAACAGTTGCTTGGATTTAGCAAATCTCAACAACAATGCAGAGCAAATTGCGCTGGTTAAAGAAGAAGACAAAACTTTCAACGCCATGTGGAATTCTACTGCATAGTCAAGAAAACTAATTTAGATCTTTAGCTCCATTGTGAAATACAAGATAGCATTACAACATGAGAAGCTGGCAGCGTACACAAGAGAACATGAGAAGCTGGCAGCGTACACAAGACGAGAAGCTGACAGTGTACACCAGAAAACATGGGAAGCTGGCAGCGTACACAAGACGAGAAGCTGACAGCGTACACCAGACAACATGAGAAGCTTGCAGCGTACACAAGACAACATGAGAAGCTGGCAGCGTACACCAGACAACATGAGAAGCTGGCAGCGTACACCAGACAAGACGAGAAGCTGGCAGCGTACACAAGACAACATGAGAAGCTGGCAGCGTACACCAGACAAGACGAGAAGCTGGCAGCGTACACCAGACAACATGAGAAGCTGGCAGACAAACGAAGAAGAGAGACTTGGCGAATATCGACCAGTCCACGCACCACCAGCTCACGGCGACTCCGTCTATTGGATACTTGCGATTGGATACTTGCGAATTGCGATACACACAGGTAAATACTTTGGTCAAGCGTGAGGTGAGTTAAAAAGCCGTTTTTGTCAAAGACCTTTTTGTTGTTGTTGTCTTTTTTATTCACACGAGTATCAAATTTAATATATAAAGCTCAAATGGACAGATTGGTTTTTCAGAGAGGCCAGCGCAGGGCCTGACCAGGACGGCTCGTCGGCTAGTATAACAATAAAAGTAGAATTTTGAAAATTTTTTTTTCAAATGAAAGCATTTTTTATATTAAAAAAAACATTTTACAAACTTGTTTTTGTCGTATTGTTAGCATTAGACTGATTGGTCGGCACAACTACCAGAGTCGTAACGAGGGGCGGGCGGGGGTACTTATGTCCCCAGGCGCCGACCCTACGGGGAGGGTGCCAAAATGGGTTTAAAAAGTTAAAAGCTCATTTTAGCTGCAGTTTTGCATTATAAATATATAAATATAACGGGGGGACGCCAAATTAAAAGTATGTCCCCCGGGAAGGGTCGCTACGCCTCTGACCACTACCATTAGACATATGGGTTGGCACCACTACCATTAGACTGATTCTTCTGCTTCTTTAACCAGTGCAGTTGTTTCTGGGTTAGTTGTTGAAATCTGCGAAATCCCAGTCGTCAACATGTTGTGTCCGTTTTAATAGTTTTATTATTTAGATTAATTTTTGTTTCTTGTAGTTTTTTTCTTTCTCGTATACTGAAAATAGAGAAAGAATTGTAATCATGCTGAATAATTGAGTTTTAGCCGTTTGCACCTCCAACTTATTGTAATAGTGCAAATAATCGTAAAAAGATTTGGACATCTTTCAAATCTTTGGTTTCAAACTTTTAATGTAGGTAAAGACTCGATAACAATGAACTGTCACATGAAATGTGGCTTTATTAGATGTTTAATTATCTTAATTAAAAATTAATCAATGTTTCCGATATAAGGTACTAATTCTCCACGATATTAAAAGCAGATTGTATGAGTTCATTTGGTGCAGGTCGGTGGGTTAATTAAATATCTTCATCAATGTTCTAACAGCAGTAACAGGAGTCAACCCAGTGACAAGAGGGGGCATCAGAGTGGGCGATCAATGGAGTACGTGAAGGCCTTGCTGCAACACGGCAATGTGACTGGCAGCTTCAACGGCAGTTTATACAACTTTACAGGAGCAGAGTCAATACTGACGGCCTTCAGGTGAGTGGATACACATTGCTCTACAACATTCACATTGTGTACGTTGTCTATATTGTACGCTGTGTCGTGAACTGAAGGTGTTCCTGTAACAAGCAAATGTCCCTTACAAGTCTTACCGTGGGCTTCAATGCATGTGTCCACAGACAGAACTTCAACGTCATCAGCTACTCCAGCGTCGTCCTGCTGACCCTGTACCTGGCCATCTTCCTCACGGCTCTCGCTGGTAACTTGATGGTCATCGTGGCTCTCATTCTCCAGGTAACTTGATGGTCATCGTGGCTCTCATTCTCCAGGTAACTTGATGGTCATCGTGGCTCTCATTCTCCAGGTAACTTGATGGTCATCGTGGCTCTCATTCTCCAGGTAACTTGATGGTCATCGTGGCTCTCATTCTCCAGGTAACTTGATGGTCATCGTGGCTCTCATTCTCCAGGTAACTTGATGGTCATCGTGGCTCTCATTCTCCAGGTAACTTGATGGTCATCGTGGCTCTCATTCTCCAGGTAACTTGATGGTCATCGTGGCTCTCATTCTCCAGGTAACTTGATGGTCATCGTGGCTCTCATTCTCCAGGTAACTTGATGGTCATCGTGGCTCTCATTCTCCAGGTAACTTGATGGTCATCGTGGCTCTCATTCTCCAGGTAACTTGATGGTCATCGTGGCTCTCATTCTCCAGGTAACTTGATGGTCATCGTGGCTCTCATTCTCCAGGTAACTTGATGGTCATCGTGGCTCTCATTCTCCAGGTAACTTGATGGTCATCGTGGCTCTCATTCTCCAGGTAACTTGATGGTCATCTTGGCTCTCATTCTCCATGTAATTGCTGCGTCACGCAGGCAAAAGCCATCAACATCTTCGTGGTTGCTTGTCAAAGAACTGATGTGCCTCTGTCTGTCAATGACCCCGTAGCCCTAGTCTGTTAGTGTATGTGATCTTGTATGCCTGTCGATGACCTTGTATGCCTGTCAATGACCTTGATTGTCTGTCAATGACCTTGATTGTCTGTCAATGACCTTGATTGTCTGTCAATGACCTTGATTGTCTGTCAATGACCTTGATTGTCTGTCAATGACCTTGATTGTCTGTCAATGACCTTGATTGTCTGTCAATGACCTTGATTGTCTGTCAATGACCTTGATTGTCTGTCAATGACCTTGTATGCCTGCCAATGACCTTGATTGTCTGTCAATGACCTTGATTGTCTGTCAATGACCTTGATTGTCTGTCAATGACCTTGTATGCCTGTCAATGACCTTGATTGTCTGTCAATGACCTTGTATGCCTGCCAATGACCTTGTATGCATGCCAATGACCTTGTATGCATGCCAATGACCTTGTATGCATGCCAATGACCTTGTATGCATGCCAATGACCTTGTATGCATGCCAATGACCTTGTATGCATGCCAATGACCTTGTATGCATGCCAATGACCTTGTATGCCTGCCAATGACCTTGTATGCATGTCAATGACCTTGATTGTCTATCAGTGACCTTTCATGGCATGTTTGACATGTATGTCAGTGACCTTGACAGTTCGTTTTCCGTTTGAGCAGGATCTCTCGTGGCGAGCTAATCACGTGTACTTGTTAAACCTGGCCATCTGTGACCTTCTGGTGACCTTGATCTGCATGCCGTCTACGGTCACCACGATTATCTATAAACTCTGGTTGACCGGTCTGGTCATATGTAAACTGGCCCCGTTCCTTCAAGGTAAGAATCAGGCATTTTTTAAATCAGTTTTGGCCAACATTTGTATGTTTTCTGAAGCCTCTACCGAAATGTTTTATTGTTTTTTCTAAGGATATTTATATACTAGCTGCATACCCGTGCATATATATATATATATATATATATATATATATATATATATATATATATATATATATATATATATATATATATATATATATATATATATATATATATATATATATATATATATATATATATATATATATATATATATATATATATATATATATATATATAACTATGTCTGTGTGTGTTCGTTTGTCTTTTATGCATTACTACACTTTTCATCGCCATGTAACTTTGGGGAGTTGTTTAGAATACTCCTGGGGAGGTATCTGCAAAAAAAAAAATTCAAATTCGCAGGGGTGGCGCTCCAGCAGGGCGCGATTCGATTCTTCTCTATATACGGTATATAAAAAATGAAAGTCGATTGCACCGTCAAACTTTGTGTAGTTGATATGAACACTACAGGTAAGGTTTCTGCAAATAAAAAAACTCTTTTAATCTCGGCAAGGGTGGCGTCCCCAGAGGGTACGATTCCGCTGCGATCAAAAGTTTCAGTTTCGGCCCAGAAAGCCTCACATGGCCGATGTGTGCTTGTAATAAAAATTACGGATATTGAATTTTGAATAATCAGAGGAATTAACCAAGATTAGTACCAAATATTTAATAAACTTTGATTATAATATATAAACTACAGAAGGGGAATATACAAAGGCGCAGCGAACTATTTCGATTTCGGCACCAAGGACGAACTATCAGTTTTGCTCCCCCTCCTCAATTAGCCCTATATATATATATATATATATATATATATATATATATATATATATATATATATATATATATATATATATATATATATATATATAGTTATTCGCGTTGGTGAAAATGCACCCCCACACCATTGGTGTCACACAATATCAACAAAAAGACACCCACGGATCTATTCAAACATTTAGAAACTTCGTTGACGCATAATGCTAATAAAGATATTGATACTGATCATCTTTGCAATGAGCTTCAAGTAGTAGCTCGAAGACTTGCAAAGCCTATGTCATCATCAGATGTGCCTCTCTATATCCTACAACCAAAATTGGAAGATCGTGTACCAAACGTTGTTTCCTTGAGTTTACTTTAAATATATAGAATATATGTATTTATATGTATATATATTATATATATATATTATATATATATATATATATATATATATATATATATATATATATATATATATATATATATATATATATATATATATATATATATAGGTCTATAATATGGGTCCCGAATAGAACAAAAAGCGGTGGGGGGGGGGGGAGTGTTTTAATAAGTTAATAAGTTTTGCCTAGGGCTCTAAATAACCTGGCGCCGGCACTGAAAGTTAGGCCTAAATAGCTTCTATTCCCAAATTGTATCCAAGAATTCATTCAGTTAGCTTATAGCCTTAATAGATACAAACGCGGTTTTAAGTACATTAAAAAATCCTTTGTCAAGGAATATTGATTTTAGATGGCCTTATTCTAGACCTGTCAATGTTACACAAAGTTTAGCCTGCAACTAATCGGCTTATGTCTAGTCTTTTTTTTTAAATATTCAATCATCTTCTGCCTCCATAATATTAATGACAATACAAATCGATTTTCTGGAGTAGATATTTGATTAAAAGCTGGAAGAATGTGAGACTGGAGAAAAGACAACTGGCTACTCATAGTAGGCTTATCGTAGCCTAGGTAAGCCCATCGTAGCCTAGGTAAGCCCATCGTAGCTTAGGTAAACCTATCGCAGCCTAGGTAAACCCATCGTAGCCTAGGTAAGCCCATCGTAGCCTAGGTAAGCCCATCGTAGCCTAGGTAAGCCCATCGTAGCCTAGGTAAGCCCATCGTAGCCTAGGTAAGCCCATCGTAGCCTAGGTAAGCCCATCGTAGCCTAGGTAAGCCCATCGTAGCCTAGGTAAGCCCATCGTAGCCTAGGTAAGCCCATCGTAGCCTAGGTAAGCCCATCGTAGCCTAGGTAAGCCCATCGTAGCCTAGGTAAGCCCATCGTAGCCTAGGTAAGCCCATCGTAGCCTAGGTAAGCCCATCGTAGCCTAGGTAAACCTATCGTAGCCTAGGTAAGCCCATCGTAGCCTAGGTAAGCCCATCGTAGCCTAGGTAAGCCCATCGTAGCCTAGGTAAGCCCATCGTAGCCTAGGTAAGCCCATCGTAGCCTAGGTAAGCCCATCGTAGCCTAGGTAAGCCCATCGTAGCCTAGGTAAGCCCATCGTAGCCTAGGTAAACCTATAGCAGCCTAGGTAAGCCCATCGTAGCCTAGGTAAGCCCATCGTAGCCTAGGTAAGCCCATCGTAGCCTAGGTAAGCCCATCGTAGCCTAGGTAAGCCCATCGTAGCCTAGGTAAACCTATAGCAGCCTAGGTAAGCCCATCGTAGCCTAGGTAAGCCCATCGTAGCCTAGGTAAGCCCATCGTAGCCTAGGTAAGCCCATCGTAGCCTAGGTAAGCCCATCGTAGCCTAGGTAAGCCCATCGTAGCCTAGGTAAGCCCATCGTAGCCTAGGTAAGCCCATCGTAGCCTAGGTAAGCCCATCGTAGCCTAGGTAAGCCCATCGCAGCCTAGGTAAGCCCATCGTAGCCTAGGTAAACCTATCGTAGCCTAGGTAAGCCCATCGTAGCCTAGGTAAACCTATAGCAGCCTAGGTAAGCCCATCGTAGCCTAGGTAAGCCCATCGTAGCCTAGGTAAGCCCATCGTAGCCTAGGTAAACCTATAGCAGCCTAGGTAAGCCCATCGTAGCCTAGGTAAGCCCATCGCAGCCTAGGTAAGCCCATCGTAGCCTAGGTAAACCTATAGCAGCCTAGGTAAGCCCATCGTAGCCTAGGTAAGCCCATCGCAGCCTAGGTAAGCCCATCGTAGCCTAGGTAAACCTATCGCAGCCCATTGTAGGTCTATCGTGGCCCACAGTATGCCTGTTGTAACCTCTTGCAGGCTAAGTCTATAACTATAACCTATTGTTTTGACAATCGCACACGAAAGTGTGTATTGTCTGAAATAATAAATTTAGGTAAACATAATATTACCCTCCACTGTCCGTCTATGTGGGTAAACATATTAGCCTCTACTGTCCGTGTATGTAGGTAAACATATTACCCTCCACTGTCCGTCTATGTGGGTAAACATATTACCCTCCACTGTCCGTGTATGTGGGTAAACATATTACCCTCCACCGTCCGTCTATGTGGGTAAACATATTACCCTCCACCGTCCGTCTATGTGGGTAAACATATTACCCTCCACTGTCCGTCTATGTGGGTAAACATATTACCCTCCACTGTCCGTCTATGTGGGTAAACATATTACCCTCCACTGTCCGTCTATGTGGGTAAACATATTACCCTCCACTGTCCGTCCTATTCATTGTTGTTGTCCTATAGTAGCTACTTGAAAGCGAATTGAGGCGTAAATGGTGTCTTATTATCCTTATCCTCAACTTAAAACAGATTTTGATTTCGCTCATTTAAAGATGAATGAGACACAGAGGCGTAGCTAGGGGGGGGGGGGAGGGGCAGGGACATATGTCCCCGGGCGCCGACCTTAGGGGGGCGCCAAATTGAAAGTTTGAGGGGGGTGCAAATGAAAAGTTCGAGGGGGGGGGGGGTGCAAATCGAAAGTTTGAGGGGGGTGGAAATGAAAAGTTCGAGGGGGGGGGGGTGCAAATCGAAAGTCTGAGGGGGGGGGGGTGCAAATGAAAAGTTCGAGGGGGGGGGTCGCTACGCCTCTGATGAGACATTAACTTTGTAAAACAGAAAAAAAAATTAGCGATTATCTTACAATTAAAACTATGCGATCTGACAAATGGTGAGACATTTATTTAAAAAACATTGTCGTATTTTTGGGTGGGGTCAGACTTATTTTTTCAGTGCCGAGACTCAGAAGGTGATATTATGAATGAGACCGACTTCAATCCCGGCTTTACGGTTATCTCTGCTTGGCTGATCCTAGCTATTTCAGTCCTCGTGTTTTGAATTGACTTCTAAATGTAAGCTAAATGATCTGACCGATTACTTTCTTCCCTTTTAGGAGTTGCCGTGGCAACGGGTATCTTCACTTTAACGGCCATGAGTGTGGACAGGTACTTGTCCATACAACACCCATCCCACGCGCATTGGAGCTCGGCCCCTAGTTCTGCTGTGGTGCTGACGGTCATCACATGGACGACGTCATCCGTTTTCATGGCCCCTCAGCTGTACGTGCGCACGATCGACACGCTGTCGCTGCCTGACCTACCGGCCATGACCTTCTGCATCGAGGACTGGCCGGATGACCTTGACCGCCAGATCTTCAGTTTTCTGCTCCTGATGCTGGTCTACGTCATCCCAGTACTCATTGTTGCCGTCTGCTACGCCAACGTTGGAAAGATGCTCTGCACTTTGTCGTTTAGGGGAGGTTCGAGTTCAGACGTCTACGTGTACAGCAGACGTCGCGCCGCGCGGATCTTGATCCTTTTGGTGGGGTTGTTCATCTGCTGCTGGCTGCCATACAATGTCATGTCTTTAATCGTCGACATTCAAGAACTCAGTAGCCTGATGCCGTTTTTTACCATTCGCCTTGTGGTTTGGGCATGCGCATAGCGCAGTAAATCCATTTCTTTATTGGGTAACTAACCGTCAGTTTAGGGAAATGGTTGCCAAGTTACACAGACGCATGCGCAGTCCATTCACAAGGAAAAAACGGAGACCAGTGAGAGCACTGAGAGAGTGCTGAGCTCTGACACAGTGACGTCAATACAGACATCAATGTGACGTCAATACAGACAGCAATATGACGTCAATACAGACAGCAATAAGACGTCAATACAGACAGCAATATGACGTCAATACAGACATCAATATGACGTCAATACAGACAGCAATATGACGTCAATACAGACAGCAATATGACGTCAATACAGACATCAATGTGACGTCAATACAGACAGCAATATGACGTCAATACAGACATCAATATGACGTCAATACAGACAGCAATATGACGTCAATACAGACAGCAATATGACGTCAATACAGACATCAATGTGACGTCAATACAGACAGCAATATGACGTCAATACAGACAGCAATAAGACGTCAATACAGACAGCAATAAGACGTCAATAGACAGCAAGCTGACGTCAACAGACAGCAATTTGATGTCAATACAGACAGCAATATGACGTAAACAGACAGCTATATGACGTCAATTGAAAGCAAGCTGACGTCAATACAGACAGCAAAGTGACGTCAATAGAAAGCAAGCTGACGTCAATAGACAGCAAGCTGACGTCAGTACAGAGAGTAATGTGACGTCTAACTAGTTATAACTCCTAAGTGATAAGCAGGGTGTCAATTCTAGGGATAACTTGATAAATTCACATTTCAGAAGAGAACACGCTTTGGATTTCAATTCGAGGGATAACTTGATAAATTCACATTTCAGAAGAGAACACGCTTTGGATTTCAATTCGAGGGATAACTTGATAAATTCACATTTCAGAAGAGAACACGCTTTGGATGTCATTTTGACTTTTAAGTTTGAATGAAATATGATTCGTGAACGTTTCGTGTGTGCGTTGAAAATTTCTGATAAATTTATTATGCACATTTTATTTGGCGTTCACTTGGTGTGCAATTCTTTTTTCTACGAGATTTTATTCTATTTTAAAAAGTTTAAGTATTTAAAGATGGATTAAAATTAAAAGTCATGTCTATATCCCGAGTTGCCATCCTGCATCCCCTGTTGTTTCATATAAGAATATTCGAGAAAGTTTAGGGGAGATCACTCCCGGTTTATTTTACTAGGATTACAAAACAGATTGTGTTGCGTTCATTGTTTTTGATTGTATTGTGGGTATATTTTTTGTTGCTTATTTTTGTTTAGAGTGATAATTTTTTGTTTGTTTTGTCGGCCTACATTGTGTGTTTTTCTTATTTTTTCAGAGTATTACTTTCAATTTATTTTACATCATAGCAAAGCTAATATATATATATATATATATATATATATATATATATATATATATATATATATACGAGCTGACCCGCGACGTAGCATACGCCACTATCTAGTTGTTTTATTTTCTACTTATTTTTTATGCTTGTCGGCCTTATGGTTTGTCGGCCTTGTGTCCTGTCGGCCTTATGTCCTACACCCGTTTCAAATTGATTAAAAACTAAATTATCTGCCCCTAATAGCCGTCACTTATTCGAACCAGCTCTACTATTGTAAACATTTGGGGTGAAACACAGCTCACCTGACAGGTTAGTTTACCCAAAGACACAGAGTCCACTTCATCTTTATATAGAAGATAAGAATATATGAAAAAGTTTAGGGGCGCTCACTCCCGCTTTATTTTTGTCACACAAATTAGGTCTAAGGACCAAAAAAATTTTGATTACGCGGAAGGAGCCTAATGTTGATGCCAATGATAAAAAGAAGTATTTTATAAAATGAATTAAAAACTAGATTTTGGGCAACAAAAATACTTTGGTTTTTTATTTTAGATAGATTATTAATTAAATTTTGAATGAAGACGAGACGGGCTGACTTTTTTTTTCTGGAGCTAATCACCCGTCACTCGGATGTCCAGGGGAGACAATGCTTGATTAAAACAATTTTCACGCTTATATTTTCCTGATTTTCCCCCATCAAGCCTATGTTAGAACTACATAACTTTCATGCCTTTTTGAAATCTTAACGAACTCATTTATTTTAAACAGGCAGCTCTCCGGAAGAAAGGCTACCCCCCCCCCCAGAACGAAATGGAATTTATATAGAAAATATATATTTTTATCAGCCCCCCCCCCCCCCACGCAGAAAAAAGTCTGAAAGAAACACTGCTTTCAAATCGCCAAATGTATAGCTTGTGTTATATAACTTAAAGCACAATAGCATATTATTTTAAGAGATTAGTTAGATAGTGCGTAAATTTTTTATAAAAATAATGTAACGATTTTGATTCGCAGTAAATGTACGATATTTACCCGTTAGTAGTTGCTCAATTATGTGAAGTCGTTAGCAGGGAAGAGAAATGTAGACATTTTGGAATGTTAACTGTTATTTTTTTTTAATGAGATTCGGCACTCATGACTATTATTTAAAAATACATACATTTTATAATAGATTGACGATAGAAGCATGTGGTTGTATATAAAACGTTTATTGGGTCTAACTACATGATGGTACCAGAAAGAGGAAGGAAGTGGCGAGAGACAACTATTTATATATATGTAAGGGACATCACTCAAGATAACAATATAAATATAATACTAATACAGAAGAGTGAGTTCCCTTGACCTCACAATTATCTCAATATGTTACATCCCTTTACCCTTAGTAAACACAACACATCTCTCAATAGGACAATTGACAGTATCTTAAAATCACCAATATATTGCAACATGAACATTATGGTAGATTACACCCTTACAAACAATGCACAATATGCTACAACATAATCAAGATACAAAACAATGATGTCAAAGTCCTTTTGACCTTTAAAATCATAGGTCTAACTTATTTGGGACTTTGATTGTCCTGCTTGACCTTCTCAGTGGCTTTTGATTTGGTGACTCAAGATTCTGACCATCTGGATTCTCTATCTCAGGAGGTCTAGGATTTAAATCATTAACTCCAGAATTTACATTTTCTGACTCTAGACAACTTGGTTCACTCATATCAACAGAACTTGGTTGTGGAACAAACTGAGTTGGTGTGAACTGTTCAGATTTGGTGGGATTGACAGATTCACACTTATTATCTGCACAAGTTATTTTTAACTGGTCTGCATGTCTACGGACAATAAGTCCATCATTTGTTTTTACTTTATAAGGCACAGGTCCTGTACATTGAACAATTTGACCTGGTATCCATTTTTCCTTTCTCCCATAATTTCTTAGATACACATTATCATTAACTGCAAATTCTCTTTCAATGGATGATTTGTCATGATTTACTTTTTGTGTATGTTGATGTTGGGAAACAGACCTTTGAACAGTTGGATGTAGTAGGTCAAGATGAGTTTTAATTTTCCTACCACATAGCAATTCACATGGTGCAACATCTGTTGTTATATGAGGAGTTGTGCGGTATTTGGCTAATAACCTGTTTACTCTTTCATTGTCACATTTAGCTTCTTCTGTTTGATGTTACCCTTTTAGTTTCTGTAAGTGCTAATGATGTTAGCAAAGTTGTTTGATGATCACATTCCTTCTTATTTAAAGCATTTGAAATTGCCATATCACCATAATCATTTATTAAGTTACAAATACTTTGTTTAGGCGACTCTGACTGATAATGGACTGCATCTTCTCCATCTTTTATATTATCTTCACAAAGGTTTTTATTTCTTATTTAATATGGCCTTAAGTCATCATTCACAGACTCTTCAGGCCAACCATTCTTACAGTACTCATATACTTTTATTAAGCACTCATCTTTTTGTGTTTCTCTTTTAATATCATTCACATTTATATTGGAGTTATCCGTGATAGTGAAGAGAACAAATACATCTTCTGGTACATAGCTCAGGCTTTGGTTTTTTAAAGGTAATCTACTAAGACTATCTGCACTATTCTCAGATCCAGGTTTGTATTTCAATTCATAATTGTATGCAGTTAGTGTGATAGCCCATCTTTGAATTCCTGGTGAGGCATGCTCAGGTAGGGTTTTGTTTTCTCCAAATAAACCTAGCAATGGTTTATGATCTGTAAAGATGGTGAACTTCCTACCAAACAGAAACTTATGAAATTTCTTAACACCAAAAATGATGCCTAAGCCTTCCCTATCTAACTGAGAATAATTTTTCTCAGCCTGGTTCAAAGATCTACTGGCAAAAGCAATGGGTCTGTCACCCTTCTCATCCATGTGGGACAAGACTGCTCCTACACCATCTGGTGAAGCATCACATGTTAATATAAGTCTTTTCCCTGGGTCATAGTGAGTTAGTAAGGTGTCAGAAGACAAAGCCTCTTTTGCTGTATTAAAAGCAGCTTCTTGTTGTTTACCCCAGTGCCAAGTTGCATTTTTCTGTAGCAGCTTGTACAGTGGTGATAGTTTACCAGACAGATTCCCTATGAACTTTGCATAGTAATTTATCAAGCCCAAAAAAGCTCTTAGTTGTTGGGTATTTTCAGGTTTGGGTGCTTCTTTAATGGCTTTTGTTTTCTCAGGTTGAGGTCTGATGCCTTGTTTGCTTAATATATAACCAAGAAAACTAATTTCTGTCAGCATGAATTGACATTTATCTTTGTTTATCTTTAAACCTTTTTCACCAACAATTTTCAATACTTTATCAAGTGTTTTAAGATGTTCAGTGTCATTCTTACCAGTTATGTACACATTGTCAAAGTACACACAAACATTTGGAATGTCCTTAAAAATACTGTCCATGACAGCTTGGAAAATTCCAGGGCTGGATGATATGCCAAAACATAGTCTTTCATATTGGTAGAGTCCTTTATGTGTGTTTATTGTCGTATAGACTTTTGAATCTGGATGCAGTTCTAGTTGAGTGTAAGCATGACTAAAGTCTAATTCAGTGAATTTGTCTCCTCCTGCCAAATTCAAAGAAATTTCCTCAATGTTAGGTATAGGG